TTTCCACACTACTACTTTCTTCTATAATTTGCTCTTTAATTGCATATTTCCTGCTGTTTCAGCTGTTAACTTTATTTTTCTCTTAAGTGTTTTTCTCCCCAGAAGAAGCTCCAATGATGTTCTGCTGAGCTGTGATGGCCTCATGGAGGGGGCCATTGGCGTGAACACTGTTGCTAACCACTTAAACATTCTCCCTCTCCTGATAATAACATTTTACTTTCCTTGACATGGAATGTGCTACTACTAGTTTACCTGCTGAATTAATTATGGTTCACTAAGATAGATACAATTAAGTTTATCCCTCACTAAATTGAATATTTACTAAGAAATCACAATGTAACCATAGAAACACTACTTGGTATATGTGGTGCGTGCGTGCGTGCGTGCGTGCATGTGTGTGTGTGTGTGTGTGTGTGTGTGTGTGTGTGTGTGTGTGTGTGTGTGTGTGTGTGTGTGTGCTCTGTCTTCCTAATCCCCAGTGAGTCGAGGTGGATGGCTGCTTATACTGAGCCATGATCCTCTAGAGGTTTCTTCCTGTTAAAAGGGAGTTTTCCTCTCCACTGACACTAGTCAGTGACTCAGTGCAACCGGCTGGGTTCCTTATATAGGAAACATTTTACTGATTGGCTTAATGAACAGGGGACTCATTTATCAAACATTGCGTAGAATCCTTACTAAAACCATACTTAAGCTCAGCAAAAAAAATGTACGTACGCCAAGAAGGTTTGTGATCTATCAAACATGGAGTACGCACAGCTGCACGCAGTCTGCGCTTCATAAATCAGAGACTATCTAGAAAGTTTCTCTGCTGATTTTTAGTCACATCCCGCCCTCACCATGCCCACTTACTGCCATAAATAGTCAAAGCAAAGTGCCTTGTGGATCTCATGCATATACATAAGCAGGCTGTTGCGGCGCTCTGCCAATGGCGACCGCAGATCAAGGAAGTGCTATTTCACAAGAGAAGTTGAGGTACTTGTAGGTGAGGAGGAGAAATGAAAGGAAGTGCTTTTGCAAAATAAATAATGAAAATCCACGGAGTGGCACAGCGTTGCTGAAGCCGTCAATGTTGTGAATTTTTCTGAGAGATCTGTGACGGTTATTAAAAAGATTGTCCAATTGGGATTCGATCCTCAGACTCCCAGGTGAAAGTAACGCACGCTAACCAGTCAGCCAAACAGAGATCTCCCTTGTCCAAGTAGCCTGGGTGCATGATCAATCAGGTCACAGTGACAGGACACTCACACACTGTCACAGACGCATAACATTCTGTCTCAATCTGTCCCCCTGCTGATATTCTGCATTCCGTATTCTGCGCTTCAGGCTGTGTGTACACACGCGCGTGTGTGTGTGAGTGTGCGTGCATGTGTGTGTGTGTGTGTGTGTGTGCGCGTGTGTGTGCATGTGGGGGGTCTTGTTCTGTGTGAAAACGAAGCAGTACAAGTGATAGTGCTGCAGGATTTCTTAAATTTATCCTTCTCAGCAGCAGCACTGCAGGTGCTCTCCATGTCCAACATGTGCGTAAGCCAGGTCCTTTGTCAACTTAAAGTTGCGCACATTTTTCCACTAAATTTTCTTTCATAAATCCCAAAGTTTGCGTGGAAAGTTGCTTACGCAGTTTTCCAACCCCGTTTTGTGTGTAAGCAAGCTTGATAAATGAGGCCCCTGACCTGTATTGGAATGAAGTGCCTTGAGACGACTCTTGTTGTGATTTGGCGCTATATAAATAAACTTGAATTGAAACTGAATTGAATCGTTAGCAAGTGCAAATAGCAACAGAAGCAGCTAGCTATAGCACAATTGGTGCAGCATGGGTAACCTCTGGCAAGATTTTTTCAGCAAGAATAACCATTCAAATTGGTTTGCGTGATTCATTATGAAATGTTTTAGATTGGAATTGTTTAAACTTGGCAGCAATCCACTTTAGTCTCAGCCTAGATGCCAGATCATCAATCTTCTCCAAACATAAAAAGTTCAAAGAGCTATCTAAAACCATGGATGCAGAAGGATAAGATATGCCAAAATAAAGTGGAGGTTTAATCCACAAGGTGTAAATGTGGCCCCCCAGTGGCAGGCTGCAGTAGAGGGTTTACGTCTACGCAAAGAAATTGGACAATTTCTTTCCACAAAGATTTACAATATCTCACACAGGATCAGGGCTGCGCAGTGGTGCAGTGGTTAGAGCTGTTGCCTTGGAGCCCAAGAAGGTCCTGGGTTTGCTTCCCAGCCTGGGATCTTTCATGGAGTTTGCATGTTCTCCCTGTGCATGCGTGGGTTCTCTTCGGGTACTCCGGCTTCCTCCCACAGTCCAAAAACATGACTGTTGGGTTGACTGTCCAAATTGTCCTTAGGTGTGAGTGTGTGTGCGTGATTGCTTGTCCTGTGTGTCTCTGTGTTGCCCAGCGATGGACTGGCTCTCTGTCCAGGGTGTACCCGCCTGATTGCGACTCCCCCCCCCCCCCCCCCCCCCCTCCCCCCGTTCAAATGCCGACTCCCCCCCCCCCCCCCCCCCCCCTCCCCCCGTTCAAATGCTAATTTTTCTTATGTTTATCTGAAAATAGTTATTTGGTGCTTAAAGTATCTTTCCAGAATTTTCCCCTTTCATAAATTATGTATTTTTCAGAAATAGCGTTAGACAACCGCTTAGATGCTTCAAATTTAAGGAATACCTCTGCTGATGCAGAGTTGATGAACTTTTCATGAACCAGTAAGTCTCTAAAATATAAATATATGAAAACACAACATGAGAATAATACTCCTAAAACAACGTTTTTTAGATCTGTTTGTCGGCTACAGAAGCACATTCATAAACAAGAAACGTGAAGTCACCATCTTATAAAAATGGATCGAGACGTTATGCTTGTCAGCCACTAGATGGTGCCATCGGATAAGAGAAATACTCCAGAAAGATGCTTTAACGCTGTGGTAAACCCAAAAAAAAGACCAAAAAATGACCTTCATTATGACTTTATATGATAACAGGCTGAAGTAACCGAAAAGTTTTTAAAATGTGACCAGTACTTCAGATTTACTGGTTTCTGCGTCACACTTTGAACTTAACTGGTATCTACCGGTTTCTAAACTTTTCCTCACACAATTCATGGGATCATTTAATTCATATGGGTTTTGGTAAAACTTGTAATTCTGGAGGTAAACTGCTCAGATGTTATAGAAACAGTAACTAACCCATTTAAAAATGCTTGTTAGTGTAGTAGAAATACCTAGATTTGTCTTAATTGCTGCAGCTTCAAAATTTTGTTCTCCACATGATTATAAACTAAGTGGTTTACTACACCCAATGTCTATCACAAAAACTGAAAAAATATTGGGCACAATTTTTATTAGAATGTAATTTATTCAAATATGAATATCTATACATTTTATATGATCACAACTTGCAAGATAATAAACCTGCAGCTTGTATTACGATTTCCACATCTTAAAGAAAGTGGCAACATAAAAAAACATAAATGTTCCCATGTCTGAGGTCTGAATTTAACACAATTAAGCTTGTAAAAAATTTCACATAAACAAAACAAAAAAATAGACACAGTGAATCAAACACAGAGTCCTGGGGCACACCAAATGAAAGCTGCCTAATGGGAATGTTCATACCTGCAATTTCCAGGAGTGCAACACAAGCAGCGGACATGTCGTGGTAATTGTGGCAGCCCGGATCAGAGTTCTGACGTTTACTTATTAGTCAGTAAAGTGTGAATATTCTGGCAGCTAGTAAACTTTAATGCAAACAAATCTCAACAGTAAAAACAACTTGACGACAAACAACCCTTATTGCTTTGAAAAAAACCATAAAACATGATAAATTATAAAATGGAAAATACCAACATTTAAAAAGATAAAGTATACTTATGTACCTCATAATACAACCAAAACTCCCCCATAAAAAACTGTCAGAAACCTCAAAGAACCCGAATGCAAACCATAAAAATCACAGTGTAAACATAAATAACATTCATGCAAAACCTGAACAAATATAAAACCTCAAGTGAAGACTTCTTGTTTTTAAAAAGAATAAATGACTGACTGAAAAATAAGTCGTTGAAGTAAAAGACTGTGTGCCAACATGAAATTCAGTGCATAATATCACTACCTTCAGGAACGTGCAGTTATTAAATGCTTGCTGACTATTGCAACATTATTCCCGGTCTTTGGTCAGTTTGGAGAGTATATAGTGATGATGATGGACTGTGAGAGTAAAAAGGGGACCGAGACAGGCACTTAAAACTACTTGGATATTATAATATGCCCCCACAAATGATTAGCTTTGATTACATACAGTATCGTAGACAACGCTTAAGCTAAAATAGTTATTACTTTAAATATACTGGTAAATAACTGATTTAAACTGTTCCACAGAGAGATATCATAAAAGCGCCATGAAGGAATTTTCATTGTTGCGCAGAGCTGTATATTCATAGCAACCGAAGGGATACTGTCTAAATAGTAGGAAATGTATTTTTGCAACGTTTATGCACCAAATCTTCACCTAGCAAACTGGTGCTTTAGGAAACACATCAATTTATTTCATGTGGAAAGCACAAATGTAATTTTGTTTTGGTATATTTGTTTTATAAATTTAAGGTTGCACCAACGAATCAGATGGATTGTTTTAGTTTGAGCATTGATAAGCCAATTTCATCAGAGAATACACCGAAGCATAGCAGTAAACATTCACAGAGACACAAATGTTCTGGATCCTCATGATTCTTTGTGTAAAATATAGTTTTTTTTTAACACAACAGATAGTATTTGTAACCTTCAAATTTCCCAACTAAAGCACAATGAGAAAAAATGGCAACAATTTACAATAAGGGTCCCTATATTAACGTTACTTAGTGCATTATTAAGCATTAATAAATTATTACATCCAGTTTTAACAAATGCTTAATATTATTTGTTAATATTAAGTACTGCTTTACTAAGCTGTGTGTGTGTGTGTGATGTTTGTGTGTGTGTGTGTGTGTGTGTGTGTGTGTGTGTGTGTGTGTGTGTGTGTGTGTGTGTGTGTGTGTGTGTGTGTGTGTGTGTGTGTGTGTGTGTGTGTGTGTGTGTCCTACAACGGTGTTGGACAGAGTTCTATGAGGACACACACAGCACATTATTAAACTAATGTGGATCAGAGTCTCCAAAAGCAACACAGCCCATGCCCGTCTTTGTTGACCTTATTATGGAGGACACCGCGGACTTTCCAACGCGTCTTAAACGCCGCCCAGGGGCTCGGGGATTTCTGCGTTTCTGAGAAGTCCTTTGGAACATGTGAACACTACACTGCCGGTTCAAAATCAAACTAACGCTATCCTCCCCCGACTGTACTGACCCTAATGTGTAAGCGCCAATAACAGTCAACAATACTGGTAATGTTAATAAAGGGACCCATGGTTTATTAATGCTTAGTAATGCACTGAGTAACTTTAATAAAGGGACCCTTATTGTAAAGTGTTAACAAAAAAATATAAAAATGTCAAATCAGAATTGGCAATGTCTGATATTGTCAGAATGTACAAAAATCAGAAAGTGGAATTGGTAAACAAGAAACATCGCTAACGTTTTCACAAGTCAGACATCTGCCAGAGATTACTCTGCTGTTTCTGAACATACTTATCCCCTTCGTCTCCGAGTTAGCTGCTCAGTTCCACAGACTAAGCTGATAATAATACGCATTCATAAAGTCAAACATTGTGACAAGAGATTTACAATAACAGTTGCTGAAATGACGATCAAAAATAAAGTGGTAGGTATAAACTCCAAACCTTTGTACACAAGCTCTGTGCGGTAAGTGCTGAGGTTGATACAGCCGGCTGAATTAAAAGAACGGGTCCACTTTATGGGTAATACATTTATTAGCTGTCTGTTGTTTAGCTCATTGTGTGAATTATCGTCGTTCTTGTGTTTATGCGGGATCAGGGTGGAACAGCCCGCTCCTGACTAGCTTACTGCTAAACTGCAAAATGATCAAACAGCTCACTGGGGAAAATGCTTTTTACGGATAATCAGCCTTACTGAAGTCATCTTTAAGCCGCTGCTGTGGATTATTAAACTTAAACAGTGACATGTTGGAGATTTGAGCGACTCGATCAGCTTGTTGGCGCTATGCCCTTGTCTGAAAAACTAAATCCCAGAACTAAATGTTCTCTGCTTCAAAGAGCAACTCTTCATAGATAAAATCTTCATAGGTAAAAGGAAGGAAACATTTGGGAATCATTTAACCACAAGAGTACATCATTAAAGACCTTTCCTTACACATGACAAATAAAAAGCGCGAAAATAATCAAACATAAAGCACCGACTTCGTACCGAACATGAAACCTTTATAATAGACGTGCTGAAGTTCCAGCGATTGGTAGTAGTGACGAAGGCTCCTTATGACAGCAACCTGAGAGGGGTCCCTCGTGTTCAGACTTCCATCCCGATGATTAATTTAAAATGGTTTCTAAACGCTGACAGCAGCAATCACAGTGAGACGTTTTTTTCATCTGTCCACAAAAGGTGTTTCGTGACCCTGTTTGATGCCAGTCAGGGATAAATATAAATATATATAAAACAAGAAAAACTGCTGCTGAGAGACATCTCATCCTACGATTAAGACGGTGAAGGCAAACAGATGTGTGTGGAGTGTTTAGTAGTAGCAGCTTCTACCGTCTGTGCAGGGACAAGAGTGTTGCGACGCTACACGTGGGAGCGGAGGTGGTGGCCGGCCTGGAGCGGCTGTCTGCTGCGTAACGGGATGAACCACAGAAGCTTCCATCTGGTGCCGCAGACTTCCGCTAGCGCCCACTGCCACGATCTTTTGGCTCCGTATCTGATTAAAATATACAGGGAAATTGTGCATGTTAATGCATTTTAACGTTTTAAATATATAGGAGTATACTCTCCTGAGATTTTACCTGTTATGTATATTCACTTCTATATTTGTATTCTATAGGACCTCATAACCAAAAAACCAAAACACGTTTTTTGAACAATTACTAGTACCAAAGACATATTCATCCTTTTTAATGCTGTATTAAACAACATATACAACAAGAAGGGGTGGTGTGAAAAAAAAAAACACAAGATCACATTCCTTCAATTCACTAATTAAGAAATAAGTAATAAAAATAAATAAAAATAAAAAAAAGAAATAAGTAATAAACTTATAATTTTAAGCTTGTTTGACCTTTTTGGATTCAGCAAATATAAAAGAAGGAAAGGGGCTTGACTGAAAAAGAGTTGGCCATTTATGAAATCAACTCATCGCATTTTTGAAATAAAGATATTTGGATACCAAAACAATTTTTAAACAGTTTTTAAAATATTCTATTACAAAATGTTATCTATTAATACAATTATTATGCATTTACTATATTCTTAAAGTAATATAATTAATTAAAACTGATAATAATTTCATACATTTTATAATAATTTAGTAATTTGATTTTAATAAAGGAGAAAACACTTTTGGCAAATACAAAAAAATACATAAATAAATAAATAATATTTTATTTAAAAAAACTATTCATTTGAAATTTTGGGGGCTTTTGGAGGTACTGAATCTTAGAATAAAAGATATTAGTTTTAAACTTTGCTGAAATCTGAAGAATCAAAGAGAAACACTCACACTTCATTTGAGAACTGAGACATTTTCTCAATGGTGGTCATGTCCTGTAGGATGAGGAAAGCATCATCAGATCAAAATAAGTCAGACATTTTCTCTCAAAAAAGGTTTTCATCCTGAAAGTTTGAAAATTTAAAAACAGAGCTCTTAACAACGTTCTGAAAAACATTTGCAGATAATTAAAAAAAATGAATCAAATCAAATCTAGACTTCAAATGTTATTTAGAGTCTGTCCTTAAAGGAGTGTTGCAAAAACAAATGATCAAATCCTAAAACAGCTACATTTGTAAATATTAAGTCATTTTTTGCTGATTTCAGAACAGAAAATAATAAAGTGTACAATGCTTTAAGTTTGTAACAGGAACCTGTCCATTTTGCTAAGATTAAACTGATAATCTCACTGGACAGTGGATGCAGGAGACTGAACGGTATTTGCGAAGGAGTTTATAAAATGTCTCGAAATTTTAGCAAAAACCCTCAATTTACACTCATGAGGCGGAGTGAGGCTTGCTGTTATTACTGCTCAGGTTTTTTGAGAAATTTTAAAAACATAATCAGGTTTTTCCTGGCTCAAAGTGAGGCGGAGGTGGTACCATCCTGACCATGCGCCAGCACATGCGTACTCTGTGCATTCAACTGCCTCATTTTTTTAAAGGCAAAATGTTTTTTCGTTAAGTGTTCTAATCTAAGCTTCTGTTGATTAATTGAATATCCCATCTGACAATGTTTCAAGTGAAACAAAACTGGTTTGTGAATGTGTGTGTGAATGGATGAATGATACACTGTAGTGTAAAGCGCTTTGGAGTCCTTACTCTGAAAGGCGCTATACAAGTGGGGGTCCTTTATCATTTATTTATCATTTGCTGCTAAAAAATATGAAATAAAACAACAAAATGATCAGGCTGAAAAAACAGACTCTTATTATAAAAGGCTCAATAATATACATTAGAATGGTGTTTAGTTTCCTTTTCCCATCTGATATTTATAGTTTTAAATGTTTTTTTAATATTTGACCTACGTTTCAGTAACATTTTAGGTTTGTATTAATAACACTCATCTTAGTCAAAATAACATATATCCAGTAAAATATAATGCATTTCATTAACATGCATTTGTATTAGAAATGGTAATAACATTTAATTTCTGCTACTAACAATGTAATGGTGGTGTAACGTGAGGAAATATGGGTTTTCTGTGCCAAAGGTTATACTTTGCCTGGCTGGGTCAAGAGCTGGGTCGCTGAGAACTTTCACCCACAGATTAAGACCTGAACGCCAGCGAGTCTGGGAGAAACCATAACATCTGAACACCTGCAGTGCCAGAAGATGTTGTTCTCATGGAAAAGCTAGTCATAACATAACAAAGTCTTAAACTTCCTTTCCTTTATTTTAAGTTGGTAAAGAATCATTATTATCACTTTGCTCATTATAAATGTGTTAATCAAATGAATGATTATTATGCTTTGGGTAATCATAATAACTAATGAGTCAATGCGTAATTAAATAATGTTTGAAGATGTTATAATGACCTTCACACACACACACTCTCTCACAGTAAACTCCAAAACACATCTGCTCTGACGCACAAGTTTTGCTTTGAGAAGAGAAAGGCTTTTGGTAAGTTTCAGTTCATGATTCAGTTCGGTGTTTGACAACGAAAGAGGGAGGACGTGTGAACAACCGTTAACGGGGGAACGGAGCCACCTTTCATAAAAGAGCATAAACCATTACTCTACATAATTGGCAGAGCCTAATCAGGTTCACTACAGTGGCATGTCTATTATGTACGGGTTGGCAATAATCCAGTTTATATTATGTTCAAAGATAGAGCATTTGTGAATTATATACTACAACGGTTTGCCGCACTTCCTGCGTGTGGAGCAGACTTGTAGCAGTAATGTGACTCGTATCTGCAGCGGTTCTGATCCATAGCACTGCAGGATGCAGAATAAACAGGATGGTGGGGGGGGACTTTTCAGCCACTTGTAGAGTTTATTCTGTCTTAGTTTTACGATCATCATATATTTTTCTGTGCACCACTTGATCGTGAGACTGCTACCCGTTAGCTTTAGCATTAGCCAAAAGCTGCACTTTTGATCCCACACATTGGACCGGTTCTGCCTTTGTGCCTTTGCTGGTTCCTTTATTTTCCTCCACTGCATCCAGATAGACCACACTGTGCGCCAGTAAAAAGCATTTTTCTTACACGTCACATACTTTTGTTCAATAAAGTTCTGGGAAAAATAATAATTCAAAGATGTTGCACCAGTGCTACGTTTAAAAATAGACAGACACACACAGTTTTTTTCGTCGCACTGTACAGCCCTGCTCTGATATGGAAGAGCCTGGGGGAAAATCAGGACATCAGTAGCACCAACCATAGGTATGTACCCAGGTGCGCAGATAGGGTGGGGGACGGGGGGATCTGTCCCCCCCAGATTCAGATCGACCCCGATCTGTCCCACCCAACTAAGGCCAGAAAGAAAACAAAATCGGAGGTTAAGCGCTTGAAGCTCCTTTTTCCAATTACATTGAATGCAGCATGACGTAGACAAACACCGACTCCAGAGGCGCCAAAGTGGTTGCTGCTAGGATGCAGGATGAAGCGAAAAAGGCAAGCAACGATTACTGCGTATTTAAAAAAGGCCAACAATGTAAGTAGGCGGGACCGATCGGTCTGTTTATGCATGTTGGTCCTAGTTTCTGTACGTTGTTGTCAGTGTTGGGACTTACTCGTTAAAAGCGCCAAAGCCTCACTGCTGACTTTAACAAGTCTCATCTACAAATATGATCCCTCATGAAGTTACTACTTTACACCAGAAGATAGTGGAGATGTGGAACCTTCAGGCTGAGCAAAGTTTTGGAGTTTTTAGAGTTTGAAAAACGCCTCCCGCTGAGAGGCTCCCAGTCGGGGAGAGGAGGAGATGTGAGCAACATGAAGAGTGCAAATATTAGATAAAACGTATAATTGCCGGCAGTTCTGGTCTTTGTTGACTGATCACTTTGTCTGGTAATGACTGACTCTGATTATGAAGCAGGATATTGACTCTGATGAAGAAATTCACTCATCCAGCCGGGAAGATTGGCGCTGCTGCAGCATCAGACAGCTGGTGCTGCACGAGAGGTGTGTGGAGTTTACAAGCTCCAAACGTTGGGTTTGATGTTGGTTTAACCTTCTCTGAGATGTGATGGATGTAGAAATGATGGTAAAAACACCGCAAACGTGACAGACGTAAGACTATGTAAAAAAAAGCTGTGAAAAAGAGGCAGATGTCGATGCGTTATTTATGGAAGTCAAGTGTGCCACATAATCATAAAAAAGTAAAATATAAAATTTAAAAAGAGATTTATATATAAATAAAAACTTTCCAAATATAATGAAAATTTCTAAATAACGTAAAAATACGAAGCAACATCTCTTGGTCAGGCTGATGGGAACCACTGCTCTAAGTGATAAGTGAATTTTGTTTTTTAAATATATTTTATGTGCAGTTTTTAGGGCTTTTATGTTTTCTGTAAAGATCGGTATGCTGAAAATGATTTAATGTTTTGCATAAAGCATGAGGTTTTGGTTAGTAATTGATTGGAAGAATAACAAATGACTCAATTAAATAGTGGGGCGCCTCTGTCAGTGCGTCCCAGGGCAGCTGTGGCTACATCGTAGTTCATCCCCATCAGTGTGTGAATGTGTGTGTGAATGGATGAATGATACACTGTAGTGTAAAGCACTTTGGAGTCCTTACTCTGAGAGGCGCTATACAAGTGCGGATCATTTATCATTTATAGTGTTGATCAGGCAGAGCTTTGTTGCCAGCGTTCCACTGCATAATGGCTTCAAACACGTATATAATAGTTAGTTTTTACGTAAACCATTGGAGGAAATTACACAAACTGACTGAGCTCTAGTTAAGGCGCTTGCAAAAGTGTGTGTGTGTGTGTGTGTGTGTGTGTGTGTGTGTGTGTGTGTGTGTGTGTGTGTGTGTGTGTGTGTGTGTGTGTGTGTGTGTTTGGGAGAGGGTACATTGGAACTTTGTCCCCCCCAGTTTGAAAATCCTATCTGCGCCCCTGTATGTACCAACTAGCGAGAAAAGCAATTTTTGATCTTTTTCTGCAGCGGTTTTTGCGCTTTTCAGTGCACCGCTGCTAATACAGTGCCGGTGTAATGGCGCAACGCTGAAACTGCAGTTAAAATAACATCCATTTAGCTGGGGGCAGAGTGAAATCAGGCTGGGGCGGCACTAAATTAGCTGGAGGCAGCCGCCACGCAAATTTCAACGCAGGAAAAACCCTGATAATAAAAAGACTGTCAAAAAAACAACGTCTGATTTCAACACTGAGCAGTGCTCAAAATCATGATTTAACCATTTGTTAAATTCAGTGTTCAAAAACTGATTCAGCTTCAGAAATGTTGTGCATCAACGAATGTTATTAAGTGACATTTTAGCATGAAAACAAGGTGGAAAACTTTTAGATATCGGCCGTAAGAATCAGCCCAAAAAACAAAATTGACAGTACACACTGGCTGATCATGTCTCCAAAAAATCTGCGTCGGTTTTGACAATAGAGAAACCAGTATCGGTGGACCTCAAGTCACGACCTTTCCCTAAACAACAGACAAGCCAAATATCACTAGAGACAGCAATAGCATTAAGAACAGCTGCTGATGTCCTTCAGGTTGTTCAGCGCTTACTGTGAGGATGCCCGTCAGCTGTGTGTAGAACAAACTGGTCATGCCACCGAACATGACCACACCCATGAGAGCAGAGACTCGCAGAAGAGCCAGTTCATGACGAGTGGTAAACTTCTCCTGGGAGACCAAAGGAGAGCAGGAAGTGGTTATTTCAGAACAAAAATATGCGTGGGAGGGTCCTTTCACTGTAAAATATTAACGCATAGTTGTAAATGACTCATGGAGGAATGAACTAGATCATGTACCTGGTCCAGTCTGGTCAGGGGCTGGAAATAATAGTACTGACAAAAGTCCAGCACGAGCGTGAAGAGACTGAGGACCTGAGCATAGAAACACAGCTGCAGGAAGAGCCAGTGGTTGTCTTCTCCTACACAGTTATTAATCCTGCAAGAAGGACAAAAATAAGTAAGATTAGGTGGAAGTTTGGTAAATATCAGTGTAGGCAGCTTCCTGTAGCTCATCGTCACAGAGTTTCTGTGTTTGTTTTGTTGCCGTTTGGCTATGAAAACAACAATCTGATTACTAAAGATGAACTCTGAAATTTTAAGCAATTAAGGTTTTCTCCACCAGAGAGGATCCAGTGCTCGACCAGGGCTAGTGCTAGAGCTGAACTGGTTCACTAAAGACAGATAAAAACCAAATAAGAGCCACCTATGTGTAGGACACCGGGGTAGGGAGACCAAGGTTATGATTGTTAATGAAAACAAGTTAAAACAATTTCATTGACTGAAATGAAAATAAAACGGAAGCGTTGCAGGAAAACAAACAAACAAAAAGGAAACTAACAAAATTTAATGAGTGTTCACAAAACTAACTGAAACTAAATTAATTTACAGAGGAAATTTGCGTGTTTTTTTAAATTGGTGTGTTTTTTCTCTCACTGTGCTGCATTAGGCCAGCAGTCGGCTGCTAAAGGGGCTGACCCCAACATGTTCAGTTTTCTTGCAACAGAATGCGTTCCCCTGCGTCAGGAGAGGTGCATTTTTGAAGTTGGCTTAGTTTTAATGTCAGCAAGTTCTTCAAGATACAACAACATCGCAGTGTCCCACATTTAATGGCAGACAGAGATTCAGACAGCATAACACTCAGCTGTTAGCTAGCACGCTAATGCAAAGCTAATCTGTTGACTCGGGAGAGAGGAAATGTCTTCATTTTAAACCGGACAGCGAAGGGAGATTGCCACTTTTACACTACGTGCTTTTTTGGCTTTTCCCATTAGGTGTCACCACACTGAATCACTGGTCTCCATCGAGACCCAGTTTGCCACCAACAGTCCCGGTTCATAGCGGCAACTTGGATGCTAATAAACAAAGAGAAATTGCCAACAGACTGCAAAACATCACAGTTTCTCAGGATCCTGCAGCACCTGAGCCGCCCGCTGTAGCTAAAGGTGTGCAGAGAACTGTGAGCCTGCCGTTCATGGCCCTGAGTGCCCACCCCTTCTTGGGGACACACAGCTGCAAACGGAGGACGTAAACAACGAAAGTGAATGACTGATTGTGTTGTAAAGCGCCTTGGGGGGTTGTAGAACCCCAAGAAGTCGCTATACAAATACAGGCCATTTACTATTTTAAATATGAGCAACAACAGTACTTTAAATATATTTTTATAATAATTACACATTTTTTGTCAATTTACTACCTAAACAAGTGAAAAAACAATGGTCATATAAAGACAAGTACACACACACACAATGACGAGAGAAAAAATAACCACATCACATTTGCACAGGAGAGATTGGAGCTTGCTTGTGTGTGTGTGTGTGTGTGTGTGTGTGTGTGTGTGTGTGTGTGTGTGTGTGTGTGTGTGTGTGTGTGTGTGTGTGTGTGTGTGTGTGTGTGTGTGTGTGTGTGTGTGTGTGTGTGTGTGTGTGTGCGTGCGTGCGTGCCTGCGTGCGTGTGTGCGTGTGTGTATTATGCCAGTTCATTAACAACGAGTGCATCTGTGTGTACAGAAGCAGGTGTCTTTGGGCTGCCTTGCACCTTTCAGCTCAGGTTGAACTAACTCAGTGAAATATGTGAACAGACATAATATCAATTTTGAATGGAATATCCCTTTAAGAGTTGCACAAGCGACCTGTCGGTATACAACAGAGAGAAGTGAAATATTAGTAGGAGACGTTTTAAGTGACGTAGTGACGTGCTTCTGGCTGTGAAAAGCTAAAAACCCAGTTCAGAACCAGCTCTAGCTGGTCCAGCACTGGAACCCGTTTGGCTGTAAGACCTCCTATAAGAGTATACTCACCAGGGACAGTGGTGGTCCATCCTGCGCACACAATGGCCACATCGGCTGCAGTGGTGCGACCTTCTAGGTCTCATTAAGTTACATTTATTACACAACTCCCAGTGTTCTCTCTCTGAAACAACAGAAATGCAGTCCAAATGAATGTCGCAGATCAACGATAACTCTATAAAGTATTATGAACGGGTCTGGTTACAAACCGATGCATAAATGTTGTCTACATCTGCAAAAAACAAGGTCGCCAAGCAGCTTTTGCTGCTGTTCTTACCAGAGTGGGGAATATGTGGATCCACTGGAAGACGGCCGGGATCTGCAAGGGAGGCTCTGAACAGGGCAGCAACGCAGAGAGCTGACGCTATGTAATACCCTTAAACACACAAACACACACGTTTAAATGAGCCAGATCTGTTCACTCGACCATTCTTCACACGTTCAGATGACTTATCTTCTCCCATCGATACTCACAAACAACTAAGGCCCAGGGGATGTGGCCTTCGTGGTAGTGTGGCAGCAGGACCAGCTTGGGGACGAAGAGAGTGTTATAGAACCAGATCCCAAATACTATGCCGATGCAGAGCCAGCCCATTGGATCCACCACGAAGTGTAGTCGAAGCTTCATGGCTGCTGTTTGGATCCTCGATGCTGGTGGAGACAAACCAAAGCCCTTTAACTGAAGGACGTCTCTTTCTTCTTTAGGTCTGACTTGTTGAGTATTGGGGCTTTAACCTGTAGGTGGGGCTGGTTTTACTGACCCGCCCAGCCATTCAGAGCTTTGTTTGGGTTGTTTCCACCTCACCAGTTGGTGACATGTTTCATTCATATAAATCAAGGTGTGAATGATTGTGAAACCACCTAAGAAGGCATGTCCAGAATCTAATTGGGCTTCTTTCACTCCTTCTCAAACCATCTGTCTCCGGTGTTTTATGAAAAGCTGAGTCTTTCCTTGAAGAGTAACATGTCTCGTCTCTCGTCTCGTCTTCCTCCGCTTATCCGGGTCCGGGTCGCGGGGGCAGCATCCCAACTAGGGAGCTCCAGGCCGTCCTCTCCCCGGCCTTGTCCACCAGCTCCTCCGGCAGGACCCCAAGGCGTTCCCGGACCAGATTGGAGATGTAACCTCTCCAACGAGTCCTGGGTCGACCCGGGGGCCTTCTGCCGGCAGGACATGCCCGAAACACCTCCCCGGGGAGGCGTCCAGGAGGCATCCTGACCAGATGCCCAAACCACCTCAACTGGCTCCTTTCGATCCGGAGGAGCAGCGGTTCTACTCCGAGTCCCTCCCGAATGTCCGAGCTCCTCACCCTATCTCTAAGGCTGAGCCCGGCCACCCTACGGAGGAAACTCATTTCGGCCGCTTGTATCCGCGATCTCGTTCTTTCGGTCATTACCCAAAGCTCATGACCATAGGTGAGGATTGGGACGTAGATCGACCGGTAAATCGAGAGCCTGGCTTTCTGGCTCAGCTCCCTCTTCCCCACGACAGATCGGCTCAGCGTCCGCATCACTGCAGACGCCGAACCAATCCGCCTGTCGATCTCCCGATCCCTCCTACCCTCACTCGTGAACAAGACCCCGAGATACTTAAACTCCTCCACTTGAGGTAGGACCTCTCCCCCGACCCGGAGGTGGCAAGCCACCCTTTTCCGGTCGAGAACCATGGTCTCAGATTTGGAGGTGCTGATCCTCATCCCAGCCGCTTCACATTCGGCCGCGAACCTACCCAGCAAGAGCTGAAGGTCAGAGCTGGATGAAGCTAGGAGGACCACATCATCCGCAAAAAGCAGAGACGAGATTCTCCTGCCACCAAACTCGACACACTCCACACCACGGCTGCGTCTAGAAATTCTGTCCATAAAAGTGATGAACAGAACCGGTGACAAAGGGCAGCCCTGGCGGAGTCCAACCCTCACTGGGAACAGGTCCGACTTACTACCGGCTATGCGGACCAAACTCACGCTCCTCTGGTAAAGGGACTGAATGGCCCTTAACAGAAAGCCACCCACCCCATACTCCTGGAGCGTCCCCCACAGGGTGCCCCTGGGGACACGGTCATAAGCCTTCTCCAAATCCACAAAACACATGTGGATTGGTTGGGCAAACTCCCATGCCCCCTCCATCACCCTTGCAAGGGTATAGAGCTGGTCCACAGTTCCACGGCCAGGACGAAAACCACATTGCTCCTCCTCTATCTGAGATTCAACTATCGATCGGACCCTCCTCTCCAGTACCTTGGAGTAGACCTTTCCAGGGAGGCTGAGGAGTGTGATCCCCCTATAGTTGGAACACACCCTCAGGTCACCCTTCTTAAAGATGGGGACCACCACCCCGGTCTGCCACTCCCTAGGAACTGCCCCCGATGACCACGCAATGTTGTAGAGACGTGTCAACCATGACAGCCCTACAACATCCATAGCCTTGAGATACCCAGGACGAACCTCATCCGCCCCCGGGGCTCCGCCGCTGTGTAGTTGTTTGACTACCTCAGCAACTTCTGCCCCCGAGATCGGACAGTCCATCCCCAGGCCTCCCAGCTCTGGTTCCTCCTCGGAATGCGCATTGGTGGGATTGAGGAGCTCCTCAAAGTATTCCTTCCACCGTCCGACTATAGCCTCAGTTGACGTCAGCAGCTCCCCATCCCCACTGTAAACAGTGTGAGCGAGTTGCTGCCTTCCTCTCCTGAGGCGCCGGACAGTTTGCCAGAACCTCTTTGGAGCCGATCGATAGTCTTTCTCCATGGCCTCACCAAACTCCTCCCACGCCCGAGATTTTGCCTCGGCAACTGCCACTGCTGCACCCCGCTTGGCTATCCGGTACCTGTCTGCTGCCTCCGGAGACCCACAGACCAGCCACGCCCTGTAGGCCTCCTTCTTCAGCCTGACGGCTCCCTGAACCTCTGGTGTCCACCAGCGGGTACGGGGGTTGCCACCACGACTGGCACCGGCCACCTTACGGCCACAGCTAGCAACAGCCGCCTCGACAATCGCAGAGTGGAACAAGGCCCACTCGGACTCAATGTCCCCCACTGCTCTCGGGACGTGGTCAAAGCTCTGCCGGAGGTGGGAGTTGAAGACCGTCTTGACAGGTTCTTCTGCCAGGCGTTCCCAGCAGACCCTCACTATGCGTTTGGGTCTGCCAGGTCTACACGGCATGTTCCCTTGCCATCTGATCCAACTCACCACCAGGTGGTGATCAGTTGACAGCTCCGCCCCTCTCTTCACTCGGGTGTCCAAAACATACGGCCGCAGGTCAGATGATACGACTACAAAATCTATCATCGACCTGTGACCTAGGCTGCCCTGGTACCAAGTGTACCGGTGGGCATCCTTATGTTCGAACATGGTGTTCGTTATGGCCAAACTGCGGCTTGCACAGAAGTCCAATAACAAAACACCGCTCGAGTTCAGATTAGGTGGGCCGTTCCTCCCAATCACACCCCTCCAGGTCAATCTGTCATTGCCCACGTGAGCATTGAAGTCCCCCAGCAGGACAATGGAGTCCCCTGATGGAGCACTATCTAGCACTCGTCCCAGGGACTCCAAAAAGGGTGGGTACTCTGAACTGATATTTGGCCCATAAGCACAAACAACAGTCAGGACCCGTTCCCCGACCCGAAGGCGCAAGGAAGCTACCCTCTTGTCCCCCGGGGTAAACCCCAACACACAGGCAGAGAGTCTCGGAGCTAACAAAAAGCCAACCCCAGCCCTCCGCCTCTCACCCGGAGCAACTCCAGCAAAGTAGAGTGTCCAACCCCTCTCCAGGTCTCGGGTTCCAGAGCCAATGCAATGTGTCGAGGTGAGTCCGACTATATCTAGCCGGTACCGCTCAACCTCTGCCACAAGCTCCGGCTCCTTCCCCGCCAGCGAGGTGACGTTCCATGTCCCAAAAACTAGTTTTCTTGTCCGGGGATTGGACCGCCAAGGCTCCCGCCTTGGTCTGCCACCCGATTCGCATTGCACCGGACCCTTCATGTTCCTCCTGCGGGTGGTGGGTCCACAGTTGGACGAGCCCATGTATCCGGTTCGGGCTGGGCCCGGCCGGGCCCCATGGGCGAAAGCCCGGCCACCAGGCGCTCGCTCACGGGCCCCAACCCCAGGCCTGGCTCCAGGGTGGGACCCCGGTAACCCTCCGGGCCGGGTACTCCGACTCTTCATTTTAACCGCCATGAAAGATCCTTCGAACCGTTCTTTGTCTCACCCTTCACCTAAGACCAATTTGTCATGGGAGACCCTACCAGGGGCACTAAGTGCCCCAGACAACATAGCTCCTAGGATCATTTGGGCACTCAAACTCCTCCACCACGATAAGGTGACGGTTCAAGGAGGAGTGACGGTTCAAGGAGGAGAGTAACATGTGTGTCACTGAATTCTTGAGATAAAAACAGACAAAAACCAACATGAACAGCTCTTTCTCACAGATGTCAATGCACAAGGCAGCCATATTGGATTTTAAGGGAGGTCAGGGATGATATGGGATCTCAAACATCTCAGTATTCAGGTGGTATTCTGGTTGATTTTCCCAACTTGGAACTTGGAAATTCTACATAATGCACCAACTTTCCAAACAGGATTTTGGAAAGTTGGAACTTTCAAAGTTTTAGAATCCATTTAAAGACTCTTCCGATTGGAATTCTGACTCCTGAGAGAGTTTTGTTTCATTTATGCACTCACCTTCAGGAATTTGCACAACAAAACATATCAACTTGTTATTCAAAGACAGGTCCAGGAGGGGGACCCAGACATCCCTCTCCTTAGTGACACTTTCCAGCTCCTTCTAGGCGTTCCAAGACCAGAAAGGATATATAAACTGTCTAGTGAGTTCTGGATATATACCAAGGTCTCCTCCCAGTAGGATGCGCCCAACAAAACCTTCAAAGAAAGATGAGTAGGAGGCACCCTAATGACTTCCGGAACCAGGATCTCATTCTTTCAATGATGATCTAAATCTGAGAGAACTAAGGAGTTTTGTCGCTTGGTTCAGCTCCTTCTTCATAAAGACAAACCAGAGCAGCACCTTCATAAAGAACGTCTGTTGATCATTCTCTTGCTCTATCCTGTCATCGCTCAACCCACTTGTGCAAAGACTCAATGAATCTCTCAGAGAGAGCATCACTGATTTGCTGTAAACGCTTGTCTATCTAATATACTTTGCCATAAGGCTTTACATTTATTCACATAAAGTAAAAGGGAACACGTTAAGCAAAACTCAACTTTTACATTATTTTGTGATGAGATGCGAGTCTCTGCTGCCTCTATTAACGCTCCAAATGTGAAAAAACCTTTATGTCTGAGTTTCGTCAGTGTTTGGTTTGTAGACCTATTTGCCTAAAACAAGCCCTTTCAAAAAGCCCCCGTTTGTGATGTCACAATAAAGACAATTAGCATAGAACCAGCTCTGACCTGTCAACTCTGGAGGAGCCCTTATGGATATCAGAGCTCCTCACCTCTTAACAGCCAATCAGGGAAGGTGTGGGTGTGGTCAGCAACAGCTTGTTTTCTAAAGCGACAGAGCCCTGAAACGGCTCATTATGGAAGGTACTAAAAACATCAAGAATAAAGCTGCTGAAATTGCTTTAAGTGAGAGGGGTTTTAGAGCAAAGAACTTCATAAACCTGTTTTGTATCTACCATTGAGCTATTTTAACTTAAGAAAACAAGTTGTAACATGTCTCTTTTAAACTAAATCTTATTGAATATCACTGTATTGTGGTCAAAAGCTGAACTGGGCCTCTCCTGTACCTTGGATCACTCACTGGAAGCATCAAGATACATAATTTATCAGCTACAGATTAAATATATAGAACCCTAACTTCCCTAATATTACAATAGGTTAAGTATAGACATAAAACCAGAGCTTATCAGATGTGTCTGCTAACAAAGCAACAAGAAAAGGACATGCTGTTCCAACACTGAACTGGAACAAAAGAATAAACTGGAATCTTGAACTGATTCAGGTATTGTTTTCTCTCTTTACTTTATTCTGAAAATATGACATTGCATATAAAGGAAAAACAAAAACAACTCACAGAACAGGCCTACAATAACAAAGCAGGTGCATGAAAACAAGACCAGCTTTTCCTGCCCTCACACACCAAAAATGTGACATGTAGCTGCTAGGTTACATTTTAAATGAGAATAAAAGCCCTGCTGGCCTTGTTGTAGAGCGATGATAGCATGTTACTGTAGAGCCTCACCTGCTCCATCATTCATATTGATAACACTCACTGGGCTTGGATCCATGTTAGCAAAACATCCGCGGGACAAACCTGGCTTTCATTTATCTATTGTCATTTATGAATAAACGATTAAATGTCAAACAAGTTGGTGGTGTTTTAAACCCTAAAACTTACTTTTTCTGAAGCTGTCCAAGTGCGACCACGTAGCTGCTACTTCCTCATCCGAGCCTCTATGGACTGTCTGTTGTCATCTTTGTTTCCGGTACGAAAAACACTGCTTCCGGGTCTGTTTTCCAAAGTAAAACTGTTTCGAAAAGCGTACTGAATCAAGTTTGAAATAAAAATAATAATAGTGGTTTTAAACTGTTCAGTTGAACAGAAATAAACAAAATAAAACAAACTTCAAGTTTGACACCATTTAAGCACTTAAGTGTCCCTTGTAGTGCAAATAAAATTTCTAATTTAAAGACAATTCTCTGGTGACATTTTAAAAAAAAGCACATTTAGATATATCACACACAGGGACTTCGCATATGAAACGTGATGGAAATGATTTTAAGTGTATATCTTTCAACATAAGATAAATACCGCCCTGTGCCATTATGCAAATGCCTAATTTTGTTTAAACAATTATTTCACACTTTCTGGAAATCTTAAAACTTCGTTTCACTTCCCAAATATCACTGTGTGTCTCCAATATGATATATTTAACTGATATTTTTTGCGTAACAACCAACAATTTATACAGGAAACTGCCCAAACATTCACCCCCCTCTGTAAAGGCTTTGCCAAATACATATTTTATTTCAGGAATGCTGTATAGATACTGACACTAGTCAGTGAGCGTAATCTGCTGGATTCTTTGTATAGGAAACTTTTTACTGATTGGCTTAATGAACTGAACTGTGTTGGTTACTTTGTGAAGTGCCTTGAGGCTACTCTTTTTGTGATTTGGTGCTGTATAAATAAATTGAATTGAGTTTCTTTTACATCTCTAGCATTTAGCATCAAACAATTCTTGTAGACTTGACCAAGAGTGTCAGCAGTGTAGGAATTGTTCAAAGCTTTTCTAATGGCTATTTTTGCCCATTTTTCTGCTTCTTCATAGTCTTCTTCTACTTTTCTGTAGTTTGTTTTATGTCCCACTAAAAAATACAACAAACGGTTTGGGGGAAAATGTGCTTTTGTTCAAATTTATTTGATGCTTTGATCATGACTGACTAGGCTTGGGTGATGCTCTCTTTCTCTAGGATGTCTGCAATCAGCAATGAGAAGTTATCTTTTTAACCCATTTCTCTCATCGCCAGCAGATCTCTGACTAACTCAACAGTAGATGGTTGAGCTTCGTCTCCACAAAATGAAACCATGCACACCTGTACTGTATCACTTCTGGAAAGCTTCAGCCAAGCTAATACCTGTACATATGTATCAAATGAACCCCTAACCCATCAGGCTCTTGATTGGATTTCCTGATTAGTTCAATAAATGGCTTCATTCTTTCTTCATGGATCTCTATGGATGAGATCCACAGACCTTTAGACACCCATTGATGAGGAGGTAGGACTCAGGAACATATGCATTCAGCAGAGCCATCATAGAGAACAACCTTATGTTGGTGGATGTTTGTTTCTTTTGTACATGAATTCAAATGATTTGTTCCAAACCCATCTTTGATTCATTTTTAAAGTAAAAGATCTTCAGTGTCCACAACCTGAAAAGGTGAAGAGAACATTGTTGATCAAGTAGTTTCAAAGAAGAATCATCACATGTACATTCTCAAGCTAGACTACATCTGTACTGTTAGCTGTCAGAATGCTTAAAGGGACTATAAGGAAGTTTGACAGCCAAAACATGTATAGAAATAATAAATTTCTTCTTCTTACATTCTCCTGCAATGCCCTGGTCCTGTAGAATGAGCCCTGGCATTTTTACTGTGATTGCCAGTTTTTCTGTAAAATCACAGAAAAAGAGAGCTGCTCGGGTCGAGCAGGCTGCTTCATGTGCGTTCACGCTCAGGCATAGCCCGTAGCATTTGCTATCCGTAGCTTTAGCAGCAGAGAGAGGCAGTGCCTACTCAGCGACTTTGTCGCTGTTCCTAACACCTAGTGACGGACCTAACTACAGTTCTGAGGACCCTTAGCTACTTTCTGTAGAACTTTCTTCTAGATATTTCCTGCAATTTAGCAACAAAATTGCCATTTTCGCTCCGAACCGTTTGTTGGATTGACGTTGTTTCAGCTGTCATCAAGGATATAAATGTTACAGATACAATGAATGTCGCTGGTGCTTTAGCTCACTTAGTAAGGCGTCTGACTCTCATTCAGAAGACCTGGGTTTGATTCTGGGTGTAAACATAGTTGATTATTTGGAGTTTCTTTTTTACATTGATTTTTTTTCCCCACAGTAATAAGACGGCCAAATTTTTATTTGAGACTCGCCGAAAGGCATTGAATTCACGGATAAAAAAGATGTGGGTTCAACTTTCATTTGGGAACAATTTTTCAAGCAAGGGAAGGGAATTTTATCTGAGCATGCAGGAGGACTGACCCATCATAAACCTTTGTCGGCTGTGCTGAAGAGAAAGGTACAGAACCAAATTATTTAATTAATTAGCTCTCCTGTCCTCTGTCCTCCGGACCACACACACACACACACTGCACGTTCGGCCGGCCGACAAGAAAGTGCAGCTGCAGAGACAGCGGCACATTATTTTTATTAATTTGCTGTGTTCCTCTGTCCTCCGGGTCACACACACACACACACACACACACACACACACACACACACACACACACACACACACACACACACACACACACACACACACACACACACACACACACACACACGGAGCTGACTGTCTCAGCTGTTATTTTCGTTAAGGAGTGTGTACGTACAGCATGCGCTCCTCGTGCACGAGCCTACTATTGAAGCTGCCGTTACACTTTTGGCCTGAGGGGGCAATCACGAGCATAAAAATTCAAATGTCCGAAAAGTCCCTTTAAGGCCACTTTTCAACACTATTTCTGCTCCTCATTAAAACTCCCAAAGGCACTTTTAAGAGCCACGTCTGTCTTGTTTATGTGTTCTTACTGCTGTCCTCATTCTTGTCTGTTGTCCCTCTCCCCGTGTCTTTGTGTTGTCTTAGGTGGATGTTTGTTTGTTTGTTTGTTTTTGCCTGTCTTTCCACCACCATGAGTGATTCATATATCCAAGACCCTTTTACGATCTTGGATAATGCAATTAATGAGGTGAAATTAAATAATGTGCTTCAATCTCTTGATGACTGGATTAATGAGCACAAGCAAAATCAACCTGAAGTGCCTGTGAAGAAAACTGAGAACATGACCCCAAGATCGCAGCCGCCTGTCTTCATGTCAGAAAATAAACAAAACGGGGACAAAGCTGGAAACGGAGGAAATGCCTCTACTTTATTTGTTGATGAAGCGTCGCCACCACCGTCATTTTAAGTTTAGGAAAGTCTGGGTACGGTGGCTCCCAAAGAAGGGCCAGGAAAGCAGTTTATGCCAATCTACTCCATGAGATGTGCCTTGAAGACCCAGAATCCTCCTGACGGTACTGCCATCTGGATCCTGAATCCTTCAAGAGGGTAGTGGAAACAGTGGGCCCACTGATCCCCAAGGTACCGTTTTGTTTGTTTTTCTGACATGCAGACAGTGGCTGCATCTGAATACATCTCGGAATCATGTGAGAGGAGAACACGCTTTGAGAATATTTTAGCTCAGCCAGTGGCTCACGTTAGAGCGCACACGGTGAGTTTCTACCCCCCGTGAGGCGGAAAATATCAAACCTGTTAGATATGAATATCAGCGTCTTGTGAGGCGGAAAACTCAGTGAAAATTAGGGGCACACAGCGAGCTATCTGCTGAGCAAACAGTCATTCCAGGCTGTTTGCTCTCATGTGAGACGGGCTTTAGAGCGCAAAATGATTACTTGACAAGTTGACAAGTAGTTTGTCTAAATTTTTCTACCTTTGGATTCATAGTTTCTCCTGTGAATTTGAAATTTGAGATGTAAGTGTCAGGTACAGATACCGGATGGCAGTTGAACACCTGTTAAGAAAATGTTTTTTTAATGTACTTTTTTAACAGCTGATCAGAGGCAGAAAACCAATTGTACCACTGCTGAGAGTCATTGTGAGATGGTCTTTGCTCCAGAAACTGTTGGTATGTACCTCCTTATTTCTTCCATAAATCAAAGGGGTATCCTTGCATGTGTATAGCAATTGTATGCATGTTTGTTATTTTCTTGTATTTACAAATCTGTTCTGTTCTAAATGTTGATGTGTATGTGTGCATGTGTATGTGTTATTTTTTAAACAGAGTTATTTATCGAAGAACTCCAGAGTTCACTGAATGATGCATCAGGCGATCTTAACAAAGCATCACCAACAAAAGCTCCTCAGGCGTCTTTGAATTGGAGCTCGAGGAAAGGTCTCTTTTCAGAGGGTTGGAGGGCAGAAAGCCCTTGTCTGGTAAACACCATGCCAGCTCAGGAAAACGTGTCAGCGCACCATTGACAACAATGTGGGATGAATCCAGCCGTGCTTCGTTGTCGTGATTGTCTGCCACGCCCCTTCATTTGTGACAAATGTGATGTACTGACGCACGCCAGATATGTCCTTCACAATAGAGATGCCATGTCCACTGGATTCTTCCAGCCATTATTACAGCACATATTTCAAATAAGACTCTCTGCCATGATGGTAAGTTCAAAATTGTTACTGAGCTCACTTTACTGTTTAAACTGTCCTTTAACTTTTTCTTTTCTTTCTTTTTTGGTCTGTTTCTGGTTTTCTTTGTTTTTTCCTTTTCTTAATGATACAATTTAGATTATTTATATGCAAAATGTGTTGAATTCTTTAGCCCGACTTGTTCCTGTGGAGATCCCAGTCAGAATCTGTGGTTGTCCATCAGAGTCTTTGAGGGTCAAACCAGGAAAGGCTGTCGTTGTGGTCACAATCAATGGTAAGAAGGACTTCATTTTGTCTTAAATAAAAATAATAATAATTGTCACCTACATATAAATACTAATTATGTTTGGTTTAGGCTACAGAGTGTTGTGTGTGACATAAAGTAGAAACTACAGCAAATTAAAACTGCAATAGCAAATCTGCACAACAAGCTAGCTTTTAAACTTAAACCCGTTCACTGAACTGTCACTCCTCCCATCAGCATTCATCCCTCGATCACGTCCGTCTGATATGGGAACCCACATTGCCTGAGTAATCGAGAGAGTGCTAAACACCAGTCACATTTTTCTAGTTCCAAACGTCTTCAAATGGTTTTCTCTTTGAGACTCTGGTAGTTTGTCCTGAATTTGAAGTGTTAGTAGCCGGCTGTTTGTCCTCTGATTTTATTGAGCTGTGAACCTCTTGCTCAATGAGTGGAGGACCAAGGTAAATGTGGAAGTGTGATGGGTTGGTGTGAAAAACTGCATGGTCCAGTAGCTGGTTTTGGTCTGAGTTGTTTTTTGGCTGATGATTTTAGACAAATGCACGAGAACCTCTTATTTTTTTCTCCACAACATTTATACCTGTACTATGTTAGAACATTAGGTGGCTTTTAAATTTTTGGCTTGTTTTGCAGATTCGCCATTGTAGCTTTGGTAAACCTTTCTATTGTTTTTTGCTATTTTTAGGACGTTATGACCTGAGCATGTCATGACTCGTGGGAGGTGTTAAACCCAAGACATGCAGAATCAACACAACTTCAATAGGTGGGTAAACAGAAAAGTTCTTTATTTTCTAAGCAGGAACAAAAGTGCACTGGTAAATCCAGTGAGGGTGTGCCGTTTGGCGTTAGTCCATATGGTAGTCCATGACGTGTGGGAAAGGAGGGTAGCCAAGGTGAGCGCAGGTGGAAGTCAGCGGGCTGAGGCGGGTGAGGCAGCGGAGATAAACAGGCAGGCGTAGAAGAGGATGGGACGTGGTTCTGGAAATCCGAGGTTCAAGTGGCGAGAGAAGTGTGAAGAGTTGAGTATCCTGAGCAGAGCAAACAAACAGTTCAGGGGAAAATCCAAAAGGCATAAACCAGAAAAACAGTCCAAGGTTCAGAGCCAGTAATCCAATATCAAAGATCTAACAAGCAAACGAAGTCGAGAGGCTGGGGCTACCTAACAGGTGCAATCATCCGGCGCAGTGGGGTGTCTCCATCCTCCTTCTATACCTGAACTCCAGATTGGAGATTTGGCACACCTGCAGCACCCTCCGCTGAGCCCGGCCACCCTACGGAGGAAACTCATTTCGGCCGCTTGTATCCGCAATCTCGTTCTTTCGGTCATTACCCAAAGCTCATGACCATAGGTGAGGATTGGGACGTAGATCGACCGGTAAATCGAGAGCCTGGCTTTCTGGCTCAGCTCCCTCTTCACCACGACAGATCGGCTCAGTGTCCGCATCACTGCAGACACAATCTGCCTGTCGATCTCCCGATCCCTCCTACCCTCACTCGTGAACAAGACTCCGAGATACTTAAACTCCTCCACTTGAGGTAGGACCTCTCCCCCGACCCGGAGTTGGCAAGCCACCCTTTTCCGGTCGAGAACCATGGACTCAGATTTGGAGGTGCTGATCCTCATCCCAGCCACTTCACACTCGGCCGCGAACCTACCCAGCAAGAGCTGAAGGTCAGAGCTGGATGAAGCTAGGAGGACCACATCATCCGCAAAAAGCAGAGACGAGAGTCTCCTGCCACCAAACTCGACACACTCCACACCACGGCTGCGCCTAGAAATTCTGTCCATTAAGGTAATGAACAGAACCAGTGTCAAAGGGCAGCCCTGGCAGAGTCCAACCCTCACCGGGAACAGGTCCGACTTACTACCGGCCATGCGGACCAAACTCACGCTCCTCTGGTAAAGGGACTGAATGGCCCTTAACAGAAAGCCACCCACCCCATACTCCTGGGGCGTCCCCCACAGGGTGCCACTGGGGACTCGGTCATAAGCCTTCTCCAAATCCACAAAACACATGTGGATTGGTTGGGCAAACTCCCATGCCCCCTCCATCACCCTTGCAAGGGTATAGAGCTGGTCCACAGTTCCACGGCCAGGACGAAAACCACATTGCTCCTCCTCAATATGAGATTCAACTATCGATCGGACCCTCCTCTCCAGTACCTTGGAGTAGACCTTTCCAGGGAGGCTGAGGAGTGTAATCCCCCTATAGTTGGAATTATTATTATTGTAATAACCTATAAATAAATTTTACATTTAATTAGTCATTGCACCTGCTTCAGATGTCTCATGCTGCTGTCACCCTCTGGTCAAACAGAAATATTACATGTTTAAAACAGCCAGGCCACAGGTAGGTTATTTCATTAAATTGTTTTAGTAGCAAAAATTGTAACGGGCGGAGCATTTAAACCTCTTTCACTACATTTAAAAGTTAAATTTTATTTCAAACTAAAATGCATCTTAATTTGAAAAAAGGAAGCTATTGACGTCTAATGACGTAATGCAACTTCCGCTAGCATTAGCGGCGGGTGTTTGTTGACAGCAACACCGCTTGGATTGTACGCTGCTTTTTAAAAAGTTTTGTTTTCTTATCGGAGCAGAATGGCATCATCCAGCTCATACAAACTTAGATGTTCCATCTCTGGCCACGAGATGGACGTGAGGGGACTCGTAAGTGCGGTTTTCCCAGAAGGAGCCTTGGTGTCTGTGTCCAGAGACCGAACCGGAAGAGTTTGGGTGCCGAACTCAAGGTAGCTAGCATTAGCACGAGCTTACTTAATGACTAACTCAACTCCTACGTGATTGATTTAATTTAACAAGTAACATCTGGGCCAGGAAACATGTCTGGTCTTGAAACAGAGTTAATCAAATGTCCTCACGCTAAGTCCTCTTTCTTAGTAACTGCTCCACGAGCCAACTTTACCGCTGAAGCTAGCGGTTACTCAAATTAGCTTTGTCATTCATTCAGTTACACCTGTTTATAATTGAATAAGTAAGAAGTATTCAGGTCGAGTTATGTGTTACTTTTAACGGCCAGTTCCGATCTTGAAACGTTTTGTTTTTAGGCCAATAAATACATAAATAATTAAATATAAATTCTGTTGGCTGCAATCGCTTTGCAATGAACAAACAGTTAAATCGTGATTTGATAAATGTGAGCTAATTCGAACCGTTTATTCATCCACACACATAATATCCAAGTGTCCATGATACATGATTTATATTATTAAATATTTTTAAATGAATTTCTATTCCAACTAACTGGATGGGCTATTTCTGTCACTACACACCGTTACGCTTGAGTTTAACACAAATCACTGTGTCTCTGTCCTTCTATCAACAGTCCAGATAAAGGCTTCACTGAGATGCACTGTATGTCTGGCCACTCAAACTTTGTATCGTGTGTATGCATCATCACACCCAATGAAACATATCCTCGAGGCCTGATTGCCACCGGTGGCAATGACAATAACATCTGTGTTTTCTCTCTGGATCAACCACAACCTCTGTTCACCCTTCAGGGTCATAAAAATACAGGTTAGTTCTAGTTAGTGATGCTCTTAAGATGTTTTTGGTCGGTTCTCCGTTGGTCAAGATTACAGTGAGTTTTAACCATGCGTGTGTGGTCCCAATGTTCTACTGTTGTGTTTTTGCAGTTTGCACTCTGGCCTCGGGGAAGTTTGGGACACTCTTGAGTGGCTCCTGGGACACTACAGCAAAAGTTTGGCTCAATGAGAAGTGCATGATGACCCTGCAGGTAAACCGGAGTATGCAATGTTTTGCTTAACTCATTGTAGTTGGGAAAAGTTATTCAAAAGAAGATTTTGGTTGTTTTTTTATATCAGTTGTATTTAGGTGAACATTTGGGACAGCCGTGGTTAAATTGTGAGCAGTTTGATCCCAGACCCTCACAGGACACATGCTGAAGTGTCATTGAGCCCAAAATGAACCCCTAAAGTTGCTCCACAGGCGCTGTACCAGTGGCAGTTCACTGCTGCTCAGGAATGAGCCAAATTGAAAGAAAGATTTCCAGAAGGGGGGGGGGGGGTATCATTGTGATTAATAATGCCTGGTATAATTTAAATGCCTACTCTTAGAGATTCAAAGTGTTTACATGGACACTAAAGTATAAGATATCATGTTTTAGGTGATACACACTAGGGTTGTCACGGTGTGAAAATGTAACCTCATGGTTATTATTGTGATCGAAATTATCACGGTTTTCGGTATTATCGCGGTATTTTTTTAATCGTGTTATATTTTCAAAATAAACCCTGTATATCAGGAAAATATTGTCCTCAGTTTGTGTCTAAATTTAGCCTAAAATATGTTATTCTGTAATTATGTTTATTTGTTTACATTTTCCCCCTTTAGTCTTTAAAATGCCAATATTTGCCCATTACTTCTTATTTTATGTCTGTTTGATGTCATCATTTTACAAATATTAGTTCAGATGATACTCAGTACTCAAGTAGCCTTCTAATCAGATACTTTTTTACCCTTACTTGAGTAATAAACCGTATATCAGGAAAATATCATCCTCGGTTTGTGTCTTTCCAGTGAGCTTTGCAGATGTGGGAAAATGTCATCAGGCAGTAATCATTGTTAAATTCATAATTATTCTCAGAGAGAGACCAACTCTTATCTGCCCCTGGGAGCCCCGTAATGCATATCGTCATTTCAACATGGGGGTGTCCGCGACACGGTTTATATGCAGGTAGCGGCGCTGCGGCTGCTTTTTATAGCGACTCGTTGCATTCTCCCTCAACCCAAATCCTCGGATCACGCATTTTAGCTAAAACGCTAACATTAGCTTGCCTTGCGTTGACTGTAGAGTTGTGGGTGATGGTCATGCAGATGTGTTATGAGATTTGAAGCGTAGCTGCCTTTCACAGACTCTTTTTCTGCACGTGCTGCAAACAGGATAGCCGTCTTCTATCAACTGTCCCTCGGCATTCTTCAGATATCCAAAAAATGCCCGTACTTCCCACTTTGTCTTCTTTGAGGGATATTAAATGTCCTGAGCGCTGCCGTCTTCTCCTTTGGCCATTATTTAAGCTTTAGCTTCAAGAACGTTTTGGTTGTAAACAACAAAGTGCGCATGTGCCGCCGGCAACTTCAGCAGATGATACGGTGGCTGGTAAGGGTCACCGCGCCTACACCGCAGCCACGGTAATCCACCGAGATAATATATATTTTTAAAAACAAGACGGTTATTATTATTGTCAACTTTTTTACCGGGGTTTACAGCTACACCGGTTACCGTGACAACCCTAATACACACTAGGGTTGGGCGATTTCTATCATTTTTCCCACCACCAATCGTCAGTCCAATAAATGATGATGGGCAGTATATTTGTGCATGTGACGTCATGATGCACGGACTGAGTTGCGAACACAGAAGAAGCTTCAAACACTGACTTATGTTTTTATAGAAGCAGAGCACAAATGTTTGCTGGGAAAGAAAGTTTGATTTTCCTTTTTGTTTAATTTTGTATTTGTAGTTTGGTAGAGTGACGTATAAACGGCTTAAGAAGCCTCGTCTTTGTTTCCCTGCGGTGCTCACTATTGTGGTGTTTTTTTAAGCAATTTTTATTTATTTATTTTTTGCAAAGGTTACTGTGTTTCTTTCTTTTATGACTTTGAGAAATGAATTGCTGCTGCGTTTGGACGCGCTCTGAGGAGGGAGCTTTTGCTTGCAGCCAGAGGTCACATGATCCATTTATCCTGTCACTTTTGTTTTTTAAAATTATAAATATTCCTTCAATTTCCATTCATTTTAAATTCATATTTAATCCAAAAAAGCTGATCAGAATGCCCCATATAAACAATGCAATTAAACCACTTCAGTTAGGAACATTTCACCTGATGCGGCTCGAACGCACATTCCTTCTGCTCCGCGTAAACCTGAACTGTTCACCTGCAGCTCGTGTGTAATCAAACGTCTCTAGAGAGCTTGCTGAAGAAGTTATGAGGTTCTGGACTCTTGCCTCAGACAGACTCGTGGATGTTTAAATGTTGTTCTGGATGAATCTGCGCGCCGCTGACACACTAGAAGCAGGTGCTGAATAACGAGCGCTACTTAAGCCAAAGTTTTAAAAGTCTACCAGACTCTCTGAAAGATAGGGTTCCACTCAACACTGCACTCATGTGCACAATGCCGGGTGCATCACAGACGCTCTCCCAAATCCTCTTTAGTGCGCTGCTTGCGCGCACCATCAGCAGCGAGAGGCAGAGAAAGTGTGAGATGATGCTCAGATGCGCTGATGGAGATCTTTTCTTGATTGTTACCTCCGTGTTGTTCTGTGCGTAACGTGTAAAATATTTCTGTCATTAACAAACTAACTCACGGGCAAATAAATAAATAAACAATCGCCTCTTGTGATAAAACAATGGTAATGGCTCAGCCCATCACCGAGGGTCCAATAATTCGTCCAATTGCCCAACCCTAAAACACATCTTTAGAAGTTTGCCTATCTGAAATAAACTTCAGAGAAAATGAGACTGGTAGCCTGATTAAAAGTGGTGTCTGGACTTCTACAGTATGCCTTTATAGTTGTTTCAAGCAAAAAAATGGGATCAGAAAATGAACATCAGCTTTTGTCTGTCTCAGGGCCACACTGCAGCTGTGTGGGCGGTGACCATCCTACCCGAACAAGGCCTTATGCTTTCTGGATCAGCAGATAAGACCATCAAGCTTTGGAAGGCTGGTCGATGTGAGAAGACTTTTACAGGTGAGAACTGCGTCCAGTGTTATACAGGCTTAGGCAGGGGCGGTTCTAGACCAAATTTTCCAGGGGGGCCACAGTGGGGCCCGTATTTTTTCATGGGGGCGCAAGACAAAAAATAAATAAAAGGGTAAAATAAGGGCAATATCAAAATTCTTTTTTGTCTCCACCATACGACTAATTTTGTGCTTGTGCACAATTTTGCCAAAGGAAATTCCTAGTACTGTGAAACTACACACTTTTCTGTTCTCTTCTTTTTCATATCTATCCTTACTATATTTTGGGGATCAAATTTATCAAAAATTTTCCTTTACTTTTTTCATGATCTTTTACAGCTGTATTTTACTAAAATAAGATTCAAATAAATTCATAAGTAAAGACAATGAACAAGTAAACTATTACAGCGAATGCAGTCATGGTTTACTTGTGAAAGTAAAACTGGCATGTTTTTATGGTACTCAGATAACAATTCTGAATGCTTCACCGCAACATGAGACTTGAGTAAAAAAAATAATTCTAGTTGATTATTATAGTTTGTGACTTTATTTGAAGATTACATGTACTGTACATATGAAAAATAAACATTCAAACAAATTAAATATGTGCACAATACAATTTTCAGACAATTTTTGCCTATCAGACTTTACATGTACCAAAAACCCCCTCCTCTCTCAGTTGCTTTTTTCCAGTTCCTAAATCCACATGGTGAGTCAAACACTTCCTGCGCTACTTGGTGGGCTAAAATGTCTGCATGCATGACAATAAGTAGAGTCCATAGTAACAGAATATTCAACCCAAGGATGACTTTCATACCAGCTTGGCTGAAAGCTGCATCTTCTGTCTCCTATTAATGTCACTGGAAATGTCCTCAAATGAGGCTGAGTAGGTGGGTCATCCTGACACTTGCTGATATCTGAAAGAAAATAAATGTTAGCATGAGGATAAAAGTCATAATTAGTTAATTCAGAGTCTTATTTTATCTATTTATTAAATATAAACAACAGAAATTTTGGTCCAGAGTCAGCATGCCTCAAATGCATTTTACACACAATATGAGCTGCAATCACAGAGGGGTTTGTTCAACACCCACAAACCTGACGGTAGTGAACACGGTGCACATGACAGAAGATGTCCCTCTTTTTGCTCCTCACTCTCTCCCTCACAGCCTACATCTTCCTCCTCCTCACTCTCAGGGTGGACAGCCTCTGACCTGTCTGGTTCCTCTCCAACCAACTCCTCCTTCTCTCTTTCATCCTGCTTCTCAGCTCCCTCGTGACTTTCATCCTCTCTCTGTCTACGCTGTTCTTTATTAACAGCGGGAAAAAAGGACAAAATGTCCCTTTTTCTTTTCATGGCCGCTGATGCTTCCAGTCAGTGCTGCGAGAAAGTCATAGATAAATGAATACTGTGATCCAATCTCAACGTGTCTAAGGCTTAAAATGCAGCAACTTCATTTTTATTTTACAGTTAATGTTACAAAGGAAAAACAAATCAGTATTAACTGTGGATAGACTCAGTTAGGAACTTAAGAGTAAATGACAGAAACGTGCGACTACGATCAAAACACTGATGTCAGGAAAATAAACTGTATTGCTTACCTTCGTCTCTTAGCGTCTTTTCCGTTAGTCGTGCTCAAGAATTTCTTCAAGTCCCATTTAAACTATTTTTAATCTTTTATTCAAAAATCCACCGGGTAAACAGTTCTGTCCACAGAGTGTGCTGCGCTCTAAAGGCTCCGTGTGAAACGCTGAAGCGCATTAGTTCCCGTCTCTGAGGCAGCGCGGGGAAAAAACTCCGATCTCTTCAGCACAGGGGCCATAACAGGGGCTGGGCCGGTTCTATAGGGGCCCAGGCCCCTGTTTAAAACCGCCAATGGGCTTAGGCTAGCTTAACCTTAGCCTGATTTATACTTCTCTGTCTGTGTCGGTGCTGAGACACGCAACACCATTATGTGTCGGCATAAGGGCTGTCCGACAGGCTCACAGAGCGTGACGGAGACATGCCCAAAATATTAAACATCCATCGAAAGTGACGGAGAACGCAAGTTTGTTATTGGTCAGGACGCCGCTTCCTGTATATTCATCACCAGCACCGCTGTAGCTCAGTTAGGAAGGAAACAGATATTTAGCGGCAGACCCAGAACAGATTGAAGAAAAAAAAGTACGGAAATATGAACATATATTCACCCGTGAGTGAAGGAGTACAAAATACGAAGCAAACATGGACGGAAATGACGGGAAATGTGGGTTTAGAGGTGGCGACTGCATGAAGAGGTGGAGGAGAATGAACGACACATTTGTCCGTGTTAAAAAGTCTCTGAAATATATAAACACATTAGTACATATACTATCGGGGACCAGATACACGAGTGTTATGGTGGCAGGATACCACAGAACAGTGCTACGCCCTCTGTTGTCCTGGTGAGGAGTTGTTTTGCAACACTCCACTGCCTGAACAGAAGTTCGAATGTGAAAACCTTTCCGACACTCCGTGTGTGGCTCTCCATTGCGGAGTTCACGGAGAAGTATAAGTCAGGCTTAACACGTCTTAAAAAGCTTCCTGGACAGCTTCTGTGTAGAAACAAATGGTTTATTTTCACAGGATTGATAAGCTAATGGCTAGTCCAAGATCTTCTAAGAAGTAACTTTGCTTTTCACCAGACGCAAAGCATTGCGTTTTGGATATATCCCAGAAGGGTATTGATGTGTTGCTTCCAGAATGCATTAAGCTCAACAGTCAAACATGAGAGCGATATGAAACATCCTTAAACTTTCAAAATTACTCATTTACAGATAGAAAGTTGTAGCCTGGGAAATATATAATTTAGTCTGGCAACGCTCCATTGACGGCTCTCGATCGTGGAGCGTGTTCTACCATTGACTTTCAAATTATCTCCGCATGCAATGACTATGAACAACGTGACGTATTCACCGTAACAGATGTCAGTAAACGAGGCAGTCCACTGTTGAAGAAGGCAGAAATACATCATTTTTCTAAATAAAGGACTGAAACACATCTATCTGCTCCTGGTTCTAATGAAGCCCAATTTCTAAGAGTCCAATGTTGATGTAAAAACAGTTTCAAACGAGCTGTCGCCATCTTGTTCCTCTCTGTTGTATCATTCTTCCCATTAAACCAATTGAGCGCCTTGATTGGCCCACCATTGTGGACCAATCACAGCACTCTGAATCGGTTTGAAACACCGACAGAGAGCTGTGATTGGTCCACCAGAATGCTGCTAGGGGCTGCGGAGGTTCCAACGGACCGTTCCAAGAGTTTGGTCTAGTTTACGAGGCTAAGATAGTTGCTTAACTAGTAAAACAGATAAGTCATTACCCGTAGTTGAGGTAAACAGAACAAATAATAAACCACAGGCCTTTTCTATCTTTCTTCTTGCTTGTAATTACGTGAACTGCTGAAATCACGCGTGATCTTGGAATTCTCCTGTGGTTTCGTGACCTCGCAGGACCATCTCTATGGAACGCTTTTGCTGCCAATTCACCTCTGAAACGCTCGCAGTGGGAAGGGAGCTCATGGGTAAAGCACGTCGATTACGTTACAGAACATTTACACGTCCGGTGGAACGGTCGGGTAAGAATATGGCTGCCATCTTAGAACAGTCATAGCAGCTCCTACAGGTGTGATGTTTAAAGGATTGGTGCTGCTTTAAAACATCATTAATTCATTTTACCATTGGCTGCGTTCTGACTAGCCTTTAGCTCAGCGGCGCTGAGGAATGTAAAAGCAATTTCTCCAAATGGAGGTTGTTCAGGAGGTTATCTACGAGTGAAACAATTTTGGCCAAAACACAATTTAAAATTGCAAAAAAAAATTCTTGGTATGGGACATAAATGATCATTTTAGATGTGTTTAACTCATTTTATGACTCAAAGCTGCAGCATTAAAAAAATATTGATAAAACTCAATAAATTAAAAAAGATAAACATTTTATTTGTATATTTTAATAAAGTCTTCATTTTTCTTTAAACATTTGCTCAACCTTAATTATCTGATCATTATTAAGAAGATCTAATAAGTTTTGACAACACGGCAGCAGTTGTCTTACAAGGGCCTGCAAACATGACTCTGTGTGTCTGCTCTAGGACACGAGGACTGCGTTAGAGGACTGGCAGTGATCAGCAGCACGGAGTTCTTCTCCTGCAGCAACGACACCAGCATCAGACGGTGGCTGGTGACGGGTGAATGTGTGCAGGTCTACTACAGTCACACCAACTACATCTACAGCTTAGCCGTCTTCCCCAACAGCCAAGGTTTGTTCACTGTGTTTGGCCTTCAAGACGATGACTAAGGAAGTGGTGGGAGCTGCTTTTCAAGATGGCCGACTGTTATTTTGTGTGTAGATTTCATAAGCACCGGAGAGGACCGGAGTGTGAGGCTATGGAGGGGGGGTGAGTGCTGCCAGACCATTCGCCTGCCCGCCCAGTCCATCTGGTGCTGCTGTATTCTGCCTAACGGTGACATCGCCGTTGGGGCCAGGTAGGAGGAACACGCTGGCGTCCAGTCGGTTCATACTCATTTTCCTGGATCGTGTTGCGTCGTAAATATTTAAACTCTTCTCCTTCCAGTGACGGCATCATTCGTGTTTTTACGGAAGCTGAGGATCGTGTAGCCAGTGCTGAAGAGCTACAGGCCTTTGAGGATGAGCTTTCCAAAGCTACAATCGACCCCAAAACGGGGGATCTTGGTGACATCAAGATGGAGGACTTGCCAGGACGAGAACACCTCAACGAGCCGGGTACTGACTTTTATTTAATTACATCAACTCAGTTGATAAAATATCAAGTTTACTAGATGAGTGAAGAAGAAAAAATAAGAAGAAAACATTTTTTATATACTGTCTCTTGAGATGAAAATCTCAAGGCTCTTCACAGGAACAAATTTTTTTTAAATGATTTAAAATATATGCATATATACATTTTTTTAACTCATGGAAAATGGAAGATTTAAAATAAAAAAACTGGAAGGAAGAAAGAAAGTGAATAAGAAAAGGTCATGTGGGATCTAGGGAAAGACAGAATTGGTAGAAACAGCAGAATGAGGAGAAGGTTGTGAAGAATCAGCAGGTCACACCAAAGCCAGCTTGAACAGGTGAGTTTTCAGCTGCTTTTTAAAGGAGACCACTGAGCACTGATCTTAGGCTCAGGGGGAGAGAGGTCCAGAGTCCGGGGACCACAGCAGCAAGTGGTTGGTTTTATTGCCTGTTTTCATCCAGGGAATCGCGACGGGCAGACACGTCTGATCAAAGATGGTCAGAAGGTGGAGGCGTATCAATGGAGCGTCAGCGACGATCGCTGGATGAAAATCGGAGATGTAGTCGGAGGCTCAAACCAGCAGACCTCCAAGAGCGTGATGTACGAAGGAAAGGTGAGGCGACAAGCTCAGAGCTAATAAACAGAGCAGTGTGAGAGGGCTTTCGCTAATGGGTGTTCCATCTGCTCTAAGGAATACGATTACGTCTTCTCTATCGATGTGAACGAAGGGGGGCCGTCTTTGAAGCTACCTTACAATGTGTCTGACGACCCCTGGCTGACAGCGCACAACTTCCTACAGAAGAACGATCTGAGCCCCATGTTTCTTGACCAAGTTGCTAATTTTATCATCGAGAACACTAAAGGACACGTGGTGGGTCCAGCCCAGCCTGGTGGCGGCGACCCCTTCACAGGTGAGGGGACTCGTCCTGTTGACTGATAAACAGGTTTATTATTTTTATTACAGAATTTGATCGTCCTGTCTGGTTTGAATCGTACCCAACAGGATGATCATTCAATATATCTTGGCTCGGACAATCTTCTGCTGTTCACTGTCTTGCCACAGGAGTGCCCCAGGGCTCTGTAATGGGACCTCTACTCTTTGCCATGTACACCACCTCACTGGGTGAGATCATTCGATCACATGGCTTCTCCTACCACTGCTATGCCGACGACACCCAGCTCTATCTGTCATTCCCGCCAGATGACCGCACAGTTTCTGCACAAATCTCAGACTGTCTTTCTGACATATCAAGATGGAGGAAATCCCACCATCTCCATCTCAACTTCTCAAAAACTGAATTACTTGTCATCCCAGCGAAACCATCCATACATCACAATATCTCAATCAAAAATGATTCCCTATCTCTGGCTCCTTCAAAGGCTGTTCGAAACTTGGGTGTTGTGATTGATGACCAGCTGACCTTTAAAGATCACGTTGCCTCTGTCGCTTGTTCATGCCGCTTCACGCTGTATACATAGGCGTCATTTTAACCGGGGACGCCGGGGACATGTCCCCGGCAAAATTTGTGATTGGCAGCTGTGTCCCCCCCACTTTAAAAAAAGCCTGCTGATGAGGATTTTTGTTTTACCAGCTCAGATCTTTTACCAGGGGTCGGCAACCTGTTCCCATCAAAGAGCCATTATTACCCGTTTCCCACAGTAAAGAAAACACCGCAGCAGTCGCATCGTTGTGGGCGGGGCCTACCCTCAGACAGCAGAGAGCTGCCCACAACAGGTGACAGCAGCCAGTACCGTCGCTCGCATGGGCGTCGCACCCGTGGGGGATTCAACACCCACACTTTTCCTTCTGTTTTGCTCACCTCCACTCCAGTCTGGTTTCTTTATGTCGCACTCACTCTGTTTGCCTCATCTCCTTCTTCACCTCCACTTCTGACAGCCGATGTCGGGTTTCCAGGAGAGCAGGAGATAGAGGGACGGAAGAGCTCGACTGAATTCATAATTTTACATCTTGACATTAGCTGTACAAAGTCTGAGTTTGAGAAAGTTAAGAACAACAATTTGCAGAGGTTTATAACTGGCGCGGCGCCAGGTTTTCATGGGCCACGGTAATTTTGGACGGACCTTAATAAGCAGTGACTTAAGTGAAGCAGGCAGGACGCGCTAGAAAATTTCGTTTAAAAAGATGTCATAAATGTGTTCCCCCGTCATTTTTATTTCTAAAATATGAAGTAAAAACTCCCAGTTTAATTTTCATTCATTTGACATTAATATGTAGTCTACACCCGTGTGTTAAGTGGACCATCTTCCAGTGAAATCAAAGCTTCCAGCCCACCTCTCCAAATGCGTAAAATGTGCATCAGCCGCTAGTTAGGCGCGTCACGCGCACCATCAGCGACGTCAGCCCAGACAAGAGCAGAGCAAATAGAGAAAGAATAGAGGATAATTGTGTCTGGATGTGGATGGAGATTACATTTTACAGCAGCCTGATCATCATTTAAATACGTAAACCATCACCTGTCTTCTAGTCCACGCTATCAGCATTATTTTAATTGGTGTGTGTGTGTGTGTGTTTTCCACTTCAAACACTGGTCTAACCAACCAGACCAGCGTGTCCAGTAACACATTAATGTTACACTTCATGTAGGCTAGGAACATTTCACCTGCCGTGGCCCGACCGCTTCTGCTCCACATAAACTTTGTGCGTGATCAAATGTCTCTACAGGAGCTTTCTGAGCTGAAGAGCTATTCTGCCTCAGACTGGATGCGTCATGCGTGTCCATATTAGAGACGGGAACAAGCGCTGTTCAGCCAAAGTTTCATCATTTCATAAAAAGAACATTTTTCCAAGTGACACATCCCTCAGAGAGACCGGGTTTCCAGACCGCTTCAGTGGGAGGAAATCTTATCGCATGCGCGTGGTTCTGTACTGCGCTGCGAACCCCTCAGATTTCAGCCCACTGTCCACCGTGGGCACTCCGAGCCGCGCTGAACACAGTGTCCAGTATAAAGCTCTGATGTTCTGATGGGAATCAAGTTACCTCTGCGATGTGCGCAACGATTAAAATGTCAGCTCATCCATGCGCATCAGTGTGCGTTGGGGTAATTCTTTCAAAACAACCAACATCCTTGAGTTTATCCGTCAATATGTGGCAAGGTGGAGAAATGAGGGCCCGGGCGGGATTCGATCCCCAGACTCTCGGGTGACAGTCATACGCTCTAACCAGTCAGCCAAAGGGACAACCCCTTGGCCAAGTAGCCAGGGCGCATTATCTATCGGGACATTGTGACAGGACACACACTGCCACACCTGATTATGAAACTTTGGCTGAATAGTGCTTGTTCCTGTCTCCAATGTGGCGACGCATCCAGGAACCTGTCTGAGGAGAATCCCAGAATCTGACATCCTCCAGCTCAAGAAGCGCATATGATTATGCACAAGCGTGAGGCGTCAACCTGGTCTCACAGTAAGACCGGGTTGGACCTGTTCAGGTTTACGCAGACAATCTTTATATTTAGAATTGGCATACAGATGTAAAATTAATCCAGTAAAATATAAAGCTTTTCATTTAAATATCCATTCATTATTTTACAAGCACAGAGAGCCGCATCAGATGGATGGAAGAGCCGCATGCGGCTCCAGAGCCGCCGACCCCTGTGCTAGCCTACTTTATTGTCCCCAGCAATTTTTAAACCCCACTCAAGTGTATGGTTATTGTCCCCAGCAATCCTGAAAACAAACTTGACGCCCTTGGCTGTATAACATACGAAAGATCAGATCGTACCTTACACAGTATGCTACCCAGGCCCTGGTGCAATCTACTGTCATCTCCCGCCTCGACTACTGCAATGCCCTTCTAACTGATCTTCCAGTCTGTACTGTGAGACCTCCTCAAATGGTCCAGAATGCAGCAGCATGTCTGGTCTTCAATCAGCCAAAAAGAGCATTCGTCACCCCTCTGTTCATTGAGTTCCTTTGGCTAGCACTAGCATTGGGCGGTATCCAAATTTGAATACCGTCCAACTTCCACTTAATTTTACCCCGGTATACGGTATTACCATGAATACTTAAAAAGTATGACGTAAGCCTCAAGTGGACCTTCACCTTTCTGAATCCGAATACCAAACAATTACTAAAAAAATAGCAACGCAACTCACATACTATTAACAACATTTATTAACACAAAAACGCGGCTTATAAACAAGTGCAAAGAGTCAACAGTCCAACTGCAATAAATCACAAGTGGTGCTCGCTGCAGAACCACAAAGGCGGAGCTGCACCAGAAGGTGGAGCTGCACCAGAGTCAGCCCCGCCCATTCCAGAATCAGCCCCGCCCATTCCATAAGAGTCAGTCCAATTCCTTCTAGTTGTCAGACTTGATAGCATTCTGGAACCAAAGAGGGTGTTATAGCTAAAAAATTGAGGACGGAGTTGAGAAGTTAATTGAACAGTTTTTGTAAAGGTTCCATATAATTAAAAATCAAACTTTTGGAACTTTTAATCATGTTATATTGTCATTTCCTCATAAGAAACACGCCAAAGCCATTTTTGACCTCATTCATGCATTTTCTTCCCATCTCAGCTTCAATTTGGTCTCCTCCCCCGAAGAGGGTCTGGTCTTGGTTCTCAAATCTGGATATTCTGTGAATTTTCTGACAAATTATTTCTTAAATGACTTCTTCTGAGACACCGCCGGAAAAATCATACATACCATCTACAAAGACACACCGGATAGGACAATCAAATGTAACGCCACATGACTTTTTTAAGATGTGGTGGTGTAGTGGTTATAGAGTCAAGTTGACATGCAGTTTTGCGCAGGTTCGCCTCCCACTAGCAGAAATATTAGGTAGCTTACAACCCCTTTTCCTCATTTCTAGCTACACTTGCCAGTACTATGTTTACAACAATTTACTGGTATACCGTTTAACATATAATGACTAATGTGTTTATTTATTTATTTGTTTATTTAGCCAGTGTGAGTCCATTTATGAGCAGAGTTTCAACTAAAATACTGTTTAGGAACGACCAAATTCAAAGAACTTTTAGAGACATAAATATTTTGCTGAAAATAAACATTACAACTAAAATATAAACAAATTAAAATGTTTCAGCTGGCTAAATGGATTGTTGCCGACCTCACCGAGAATCGAACCAGCACCAGCTCAGGGGAAAGCAAAACTTAAGTTAAACAATCTCGCCACTGGACTACCAGAGCACATACATAAATCACAGATGCTGTTGTACAGCACTTTTCTTGGAGCGGCTGTGGGTAGATATTCGTTAAAAGAAACCTTTTCATTTCGAGATATATTCAGGCTTTGTCATGTAGCAAGTTATATTTATCTTGTTTAATTGAAGCATAGAACATAGCATTAACGACTGTAAACTAGTAACAGCCGTAATTCATGTGGGTCAGGTTAGTTTGCGATAAAGTTGGAAAAACAAAAACGGAAGTCAGTGGGCTAGACTGAGTTTGCGTGAATGGGCGGGGCTGACTCTGGTGCAGCTCCACCTTATGGTGCAGCTCCGCCTTTGTAGGTCTGCAGCGAGCACCCTCTCATAAATCAACGTAAAAACCCAGGACCGCTGTTGTGCGCAAATCAAGTGAACAACTTATCAACGAGCAGCATGAAACACTGCAAATAAGCTGTAACAGTCAACAAGAGTTGAATAACCATAAACATCGAAATTATAAAAATTATTGCAACCAAAGCAACTGCATTAAAATTATAAAAAGAAAACTCCGTCACACGGCCACACGCGTGCGCGCGCGCACACGCACACACACAGGACACATTACGGCATGTTGCAGCAAATCTACTTAAGATTTCTCGCCAGAAAAACCAGAATGTTTACTTTTTCTGGGTTCAAGTTTGCACGTTGTGGACCAACAACTTTACCTGCGTGCTGAAAACCCGCTCCGATGGTGAGCTGGTGGCAGTGGCACAATTACATAGATACCTCCGGGCCAGTCGTGACAGCTGGGGAAAACTACTGCCAGCATATTTACACCAGAGAAGAGGGTCTTCGTCCCCTTGAATAACAGGTTCCAAACAGTACGCTGTTATTTCAGCTCCAGCTCGCTGCTCTGCGCGGCTGACGGGACCCTCCGGCGCAGCGCGTCAGCGCAGCGGCTCGTTTTTGCAGGAGAGCTCACAGAGACATCTTTTTGCGTGGGGGTTCAGGTTGTGATCGTTCCTCTATGGTTCGGATGCTTCTGGTGCTGTTTGCCCCTCTAAGCTCACGATCTCAGCCTGTAATTCAGCTTTGATTTCAGCCAGTGCGCTGTCATCAAGCTCATGTCTGCCTCGGTAACGAGGGTCGTGGAAAGGACATTTTCGCATTAATTTGCGCACTGAATCAGATTCATACTTGGCCTCCAGCTTTTTTAGAATTGTGGTTTTTATTGACTTTGTAAGCTGGAGGTAGTTTTCTGACACAGCCAACACGCTCTCCCTGCAGAGTTGGAGTATGGGGAGGATAGAGGAACTGGTCAGTCGCATAGCTGTTTTTCATGACGGTATTGGAACTGACACCGTCGCTATTTTGTAATACCGCGTGTATACGGTAATACCTTAATACCGCCCAAGCCTAGCTCCCATCTACCTGAATTCTCTTGCAAAGGCTTACGTCACAGCCCGACTGCTCCGCTCATCAAAGGATCGTTGGCTAGCAGTGCCCACACCACGCTCAGGACAATCCAGACTTTTCTTGTGTAGTTCCACAGATGTGGAATGACCTACCAAGCACTACCAGAACAGGAGCGTACTTGTCAATTTTCAAGAAACTCCTGAAGACACTGCTCTTCAGAGAGCATCTTCTAAACCAGGACCCTCCCTGCACCACTCTACTGTCCACTCGTTGTTAACTTCCCTTTATGATTCATTATGCTGCCTCACTGCCACCTAGGATTGACTGAATAGTATTTGTTATTAGCCTCAAGGGCAACCTGATGGCTTCATTATCACTTGTAAGTTGTTTTGGACAAAAGTGTTTGCTAAATACATAAACATAAACAAACATATTTGCTAAATCGATGTGTTTGCTGTGTTCTCATGACAGGAGGGTCGCGATATATTCCTGGCTGCTCCAATGACGACCGGGGCTTTGGAGCTGATCCATTCACAGGTCCCAATGTCTACCAGCCTGATTTTCACAATAAGAGCACCTGTCTTTAAATGTGGTATCATAGCCTTTAATTTTTTCTTCTCACAGGTTCTGGTCGCTACATCCCAGGGTCAAACCCCAACCCAAGTGTACCTTCAGGTGTGGCAGATCCATTTACAGGTGAGTTACAACTGCAACCTGTTAAAGAGGAAATATGTAAAACTAAGGTGCAAATTACAAACAGGCTTCTGGGGTAGCCCTGTGAGGGAGGGTTGGGGGGTTAAGTCGTCTGAGCGATTACCTCTGTCAGGGCTGGGTTGTGATTGCAGGGGGCTCTGGGCTTGAAAGCTCCCAAAGCTGGCCAGAGACCCCCAGAAAATGATTATTTATCCAGCAACAAACCGTATGCTTAGCACGTTGACCTCCAATTAATTTTGTGTGAGTGGGCGAGCGCATGGGGGTAGGGTAGGGGTGGGTCGCTTTGGCCCCCAAATGCCTTGAAACAGCCCTGGGTTTTGAAGGAAGGTGATCTGAATTATATTACATACTCATAAATGATTGTTTTATACAGGTAAAAACATGAAGTGGGACAAATCAACCCACATTTTCCTTTTTTTAGCTCTTTGTTTTGTTTTCTTATTTATTATTTGACTTTTTTCCTGACCTGTCTTTCTCTGATCTTCCTGCATCTCCTCTAAATTCTCCTGAGAAAAATGTCTGGACTTCCTACTTTTTCACCTCATGAGTTACTTTTGAGCTAAGCAGGTCAGCGGGATCCAACAACTGTAAAAATAGCGGAGTTCTGCAGCGGTGAAGTGAAGTCACTGGAGCGTAGGTTTTGAGCTCCGCTGCAGCAGAGCGCATCATGCACGAATTAAAGACAGAAAGTACCAGAGAATATGACATGAACAATCATGTGTTACTTATATTTTCTTGGTGGCGCCACTTACTGTGGCCGTGAGCAGGACGCAACTGCCTAGAGCCATTAACAGCTTATTATCTTAAAGGGACATAGCCTCGAAACGGTTCATTCTGGGAGGTTCTGAAACTGTTATAAATAAAACTGCTGAGATCACGTTATCTGATCTAGTGCGGTGAATGGACCATAGAACTGTTATAACTTAAAGAACAAGTCATCCCCAAATCAACTTTTGTTTGCTGATAAATTATATAACTGAGTGTCTAATCGTGCACTTGTAGTCAATAATTAGGCACATTAGTGTGTCTTAGTTAAAATTTTAATATTCTGCTTAAATCTGTCAGTGTTGTCATCTTCGGGTAAAAACTCGGCACTGCATTTGAATTTAAATCTGCTATTGCCATTGGCTAAGAGGTAGTACTCTATGACGTCAGCTGGTTCATTTTGTCACAATGTCGTCGAGCCTTTTGTGTACCGTAATACAATAGGTTAAGTATAGACATAAAACCAGACTATAGAGCACACCTCAATATAAGCCGCACCGGGCCAAAAGCCGCAGATATCTGCTGAATTGAAAACCTAGTTTAATTGAACATAACTGAACTGATCAGTATCAAACAAAACAGAAAAGTTATTGATTAGTTTATTCATCGTCCTCCTGCGCACTGAAACCACTGAAGTCATCTTCTTCAGTGTCGGAGTTGAACAGCCTCAGAATTCAATTCAATTTTATTTAAATAGCGCCAAATCACGACAAGAGTCGTCTCAAGGCACTTCACATAATAAAAATTCCAATTCAGTTCAGTTCATTAAGCCAATCAGAAATAATGTTTCCTATATAAGGAACCCAGCAAATTGCATCAAGTCACTGACTAGTGTCAGTGACTTTACAGCAATCCTCATACTAAGCAAGCATGCAGTGACAGTGGAGAGGAAAACTCCCTTTTAACAGGAAGAAACCTCCAGAGAATCCTGGCTCAGTATAAGCAGCCATCCTCCACGACTCACTGGGGATCGAGAAGACAGAGCAGGCACACACACACACAGTGGCTCCACCCTCTCAATCTGCCAGGCAACAGCATTTGTTGCATTTTTCAAGTTGCTCGGCAGACCAAGAGGGCGGAGCTGCTAACAAATACATACAAACAGGCTCACAGCAGCATTGTGACATCATAATGTACCAGCTAACGTCATTGTGTACCTCTTAGCCAATAGTGATGGCAGATTTAAATTCAAACGTAGTGCAGAGTTTTACCCAACGATGGTGCAACACTGACAGTTTTAGGAAGAATATTTAAATTTGAACTAAAATGAACTAAAGTGCCAAATTATTGTCTACACGTGATTAGACACTCATTTATATAGTTTATCACCAAAAAAGTTGATTTGGTCTTTAAAGAGCAAGTCACCCCCAAATCAACTTTCTTTTTCTGATAAACTCTATAAATGTGTGTCTAATCGTGCTGCAGACACATGTAGTCATAGATTTGCACTTCAGTGCATTTTAGTTAAAATTTTAATTTTCTGGCTAAAATTGTCAGTGTTGAGCCATTGTCAGGTAAAAACTCTGCACTGCATTTGAAATTAAATCTGCCATCGCTATTGGTTAAGAGGTACCCTAGAAAGTTAGCTGGTACCATATGATGTCACAATGTCGTTGTGGTACCATATGATGTCACAATGTCGTTGTGAGCCTGTGTGTGTGTATTTGTTAGCAGCTCCACCCTCTGGGTCTGCTAGGCAACAGCCTTTGTTGCATTTTTCAAACAGGAAGTAGAAGTGGAGTAATACTCTGGTAGGGGGTGACTTGCCCTTTAAGAAAAAAGTGATAATGTGTCTCCTTTAACACCCAATCAAGAAAAGCTCATGATCTTCCCAGCAGCTAAACTTCCACGTTCAAAACAACTGAGGTTGTCATTTAAAGGATATTTTGAGCCTTTTAAAGTGTTCATCTGTGTTAAAAAATATATAAATAATCACAATCTGTTGCAGTTAAAATGGCCATGTTTTAAAACTGAGCATCATCACCAAAGACATCTGTTCAGCTGTAGTCTCCTGTCATTGACGTTTACTTCTAAGACAACAAAACGTTTGCTGCAGGAAAAGGTGCCTACTCCTCAGCGGGGCTAAAGCAGACACCGACCAACATCTACTTCCCCAAGACCGATGGAGTCACATTCGATCAAGCAAACGCCTCTCAGATCATGGGTGAGTGTTTAAAATAGAGATCTGAAAATGCTGATTCTTTTCACTGATTTGTGACGTTGTTCTCCAGCCAAGTTAAAGGAGCTGAATGGAGGAGCCCCCCCTGAGCACAAGCTCCCTGAGGAGACGATGGAGAGTATTGAGAGGCTGCTGTTATCTGTTTGTGTGCCAGATTCTTCTGAGCCTCCTCCCACCATCCAGGAGATCAACCTCCTCTGGAAGGCGTCACTCTGGCCCGAAGGTACATCAGCATCACACTCCTGATCTTTTTATTTATTTATCATTTGTCTTTATGTGAAATTCCCTCCTACATGTTTTTTTGTGCACTACAGACATAGTGTTTCCTGTCCTGGACATCCTGAGGCTGGCGGTGCGCCACCCGCAGGTTAACGAGAGTCTCTGCGGCGAGGCAGAGGGCGTCCAGCTGTGCAACCACCTGCTGAAGCTAATGAGGCCCGACGGCCGGCCCGCCAACCAGATGCTGGCGCTGCGCACGCTTTGTAACTGCTTCAGCGGCAGACATGGCCGTGCCCTCCTCATGGCCCAGCGCGAGACGGTGCTGTCGCGCTCTGCCGACCTGGTAGCCGTCCGCAATAAGAACATCCACATCGCCTTGGCAACGCTGGTGCTCAACTATGCAGGGTGCCTGCACAGCCAGCCAGATCTGGAGGCCAAGGCGCAGTGTCTGTCTGTGGCCAGCAGGGCTCTGGAGACCGTACAGGACAAGGAGGCTATATTTAGGCTGCTGGTGGCCTTGGGAACCACTGTGGCCTCTGACCAGACGGCCCAGGACTTGGCGCGCTCCCTGGGCGTGAGCTCTCAGATTTCCAAGTACTCATCCGTGTCTGATCCGCCGAAGGTCGGCGAGTGCTGCCTGCTGGTTTTAAAAGAACTCAACTGATGTGAATGGATAGGGACAAAAAGCCAGCACTTCTTTCTATCAATCTGTTCTCCTGAGTCAGAAGTGAGGGAGACTCTATTATGACTCTTGTATGGTCTACAATAAAAACAGAACAAAAACATTCTCTACATATGCTTGGTATGTGTTTTTATTACTGCGTTACCATCAACAGCTGCTTGTGTGTAAAAAATACTCTCTAGACAAGTTTTATCCCACTTCCTGCTTTTGTTACACTTTCAGTATTTATATTATTACAGCTCAAATAGCAGCTGGAGCTCAGTGATGTAAGTTCTAATAGCTGGACTTTTCACCACAGTTGATTTTATTTGCATGTGTAATGTGCTCCTTTGGGAAAGAGTTTTATTTGTTATGATAAATGGCTGTATGCAGGTTCTCTCCAGGTAGAAAAACCTTAAAGACAAAGACGACTTGTTTTTTCAACACACTTGCAGTGGTCTCTAGTGTAAATGAATGCCTTGTGAGTCGATCTCTTGAGGGGTAAAAAAGCTCTGGGTTCCTTCGTCTTTTAGGAAGTAGCGAGCCAGATGAAGATGAGATTCAGGCCCGATCTCAATTCTCGCACTTTAACACTTGCGCACTTCAATTACTCGGCCCCTGCCAGGGGTGCGAGTGCGTAGGGTGTTTCCGACTCTCAAGTGCAGAAGTTCACTAGCCTGGCCTGCCAGACTCTTTCTCTGTTTAATTCTGCACAGAGTCTGGTAACTCACAGGCAGAGAAGCAGATGAGGGGCGGGACTAGGCAGCTCAAAAATAACCAATCACAAAAAAGACAGAAAACTGTACCGCGCGACACAGTAGTTTTTTAGCTGTAGTTTAAAAAAAAAGGCGTCTGGCAATGGCACACTTTTTTTTTTTTTTGAAGAAAGACTTTTAGCATTTTACTTGTGGTTTTAACTCCCACTGTTTTCATGGGTGACCACGCCAGGAAAGTTGACCATTGAGCAGGATTGATGGTTTATCCCTTGAGGTACACGTGGCAGGGGTGAGGAGTGAGCACCATCTCACCCGTGCCACGTGGACCTCAAGGGATAAACCATCAATCCTGCTCAATGGTCAACTTTCCTGGTGTGGTCACCCATGAAGACAGTGGGAGGGTTGAGGGTTAACCCTCCCACTGAAGACATTCAAGTCATTTAGAACAGAGAAAAGTTGTCTTCGTTGTTTATGAGAAACTGAGCGTCGCTGTGTGTGGCATCTGCGACGCTGTAGTTTTTCAGCTGTAGTCAAAAATGTCGTCTGGCGACCGTGCAAACATCTTTCTTTAGAAGAAAGACTTTCCACACTTCTACTTGTTGTTTTAAAGATGTGTCCAAGTCATTTAAAACAAAGGAAAGAGCTGCAGCGAACTCCGCTTCAGTCGCCATATTTATGACAAACTCGGTGTTGTGGTGTGTGACGTACGCTACTCAGCGCTGATTGGCTCTGTTAGAATTCTCACAGGGTGGGCTTATTTGAATAGGAGAGTTCCCAGACCAACTAAACAGAGGAGTCTGGCAGGCCAGGCTAGAAGTTCACACCCCTTTTTCATCCTTGATCTGAGTATTACCCACAATCCATTGCTGCGGGAGAAAAAAGTGCCTTTTCTGAAAATGTGTTTTCAAATAAAAGTAGTTCATTGCATCATTGATGCTCTGAATGTTTTAGACAAAGCAGCAATGAATGTAAATTTATTTCAAATAATTGTTTGGATGTTTGTTTGAAAGTTGTTAAAGTTTTTTTTAAAAAGTAGCACATCGACCAGCATCCTGGCATGCTTTGCGGTTGGTAGCGCAATGCTTTTTGTCCCAAGTCAGCAGTTATTAGCATGCTTGTGCACCGCGCACACAAAGCCTTACTGCTGTAACGGAACAGAATGACTCTTATTTTTCCCTTCTTTGCTCAAGACTAGTCTGCATGAGATATAATTCAAGGTCTCATGCATTCCTTCTAACCTGCTTATTTTCAGCTCAACAGAAGAACGAAGAATGAACTCTTTTCTTTTAATTAATCAAAGAACTCTATTTTAATAAAGCTAATCCATCAATCCCACGCCTTATGGCTCATTAATTAAATGTAATTTCTCAATTCATTACACTGCGCAGTTCCCCCAAGTTCACTTCACATAAGACCGTTGGGCGCAGTGCAAGTATTGGGATTGGGCCTCAAAAAGAAATTGGAGTCTCATTTCCTGATATTGGAACATCTCTCCCCTGATTGGCTAACAGCAACTCACCTCTACCACTGCGGCTGTGTAGTGGAGTTGTTAGTGCTAACTATTGGCTTCTACTTGCCAAGACATGTACTGCTCTCTTCTGGATGCTAACTCTTCAAAGTCTTGCCTGTTGCAAGCTAAGATGGGTGAGTCCATGAAGGCTAATTTTCAGTGTAATGTAGATCTGTCTGGCTTTTGCTGACCCAAGCGTTTTCTTGTCTATTTTCTGTTGGTGGCTAATGCAGGAAATAAGGGTAGAAGACTATTTTCACATTCAGCCTGCATGTAAACTTAGAATCACATATCATATTTCAAAAATAAGTAAATATTTTCTCAGTGAATTTGCTCCAAAACACCTTGTCATGATCCTCCTTAACTCCCCCCCCCCCCCCCCCCCCCGAAAATCCCATAACTACATGACTTTTATAGCAGTAATGAAGGTTGTACAGTAATCTGATCAGAATTACATAAGATTTCACAAATGGAAAGACTAATGATACCCAGATGGGAGTAGATGATGGTAGGACTTTTATTACTTGTAAATTGAAAAAAAAACATTCAAAAAAGAAATCAAAATGAGTGAAATTGTGCTTAAATATACTATTTTTCTAGAACAAGGGTCTTGAACTCTCCAGCAATTTTTAGTTGTTTCCCTGCTTCAACACACCTGACTTTAATCAGCAGGTGAGGCTTAACATTGAAGCATCAAGGATGTGTTAGCAGGAAAACAACCATGCTGAATAGCTGCCTACAAAGACCAGAGTTTGAGACCCCTGATCTAGAAAATCTCAAGGATTTAGACTCTCACTTTTTCTTTAAAGTAAAAAAGTTGAAAAGAATTCAATTAAGGGTTAATAATTTGATTAAATAGTGTATGTGTTAAAAACCGGTAATTATTATAGCACTTTACAAGATAATTTCCCCCTAGAAGCTGTGGTATTTTGGCTATAGCCAGGGGTGTTGCTAGGGCTGGTCCTGGGTGCTGCTCTGACAGCAAGCTTGAAACCCCCCCAAATAACTTAATTTAACTTGGCCCTAATGCAAGATACCAAGAGCCAAAACATGCAAATATCTTTATATGAAGTTGAAAAGAGATACTGAGGTAGTTAATTAAGATATCAATGCATTATTTTCAAAATAGTTAAATTCTGATTCTTATACAAATGTTGTTGGAATAAATATTTCTTATCATATTGCTGTTATTGAATTAATTTGAACAACTTAAAGGCAAATCTGTTAACAATGAGCCTCTCTAACAGAGGAGTGCCCCCCTCAAATGTTAGTCTAGAATCCTGTCCTTGCTCGTGGGTCCCCGTTCAGGCTGAAGATGCGGGCTGACCTTTTCAGTTGCAGCTCCAAAACTATGCTGAGTACAGACGCTTCTGCTTCTGATAACTGCTTTTGCTCCCTTATCTTTTTTCCCAAGGCTCTTTGTCCTGTCTGCCCACAGAGCGCTTCTCTGCATTTCTTCTGAAAACCCCTATTTTTTAGAATGGATTTAATTAATTGGTCATTCAACGCGATTGACAAGTTTTTTTCTATGATGAGAACGGAGGAGGGGGCTCCCACTTGCCCGCAAGGGACACACGCAGCGGGATATATGCTCGATTCCTGGAGGGAGTGGAAGATCATATGCCTCTCTCAGTTGTCCATTGAGGATGTCGAAGATGTGCGGATATTTGGCCTGATGATCACTGGATTTCTTCTGATTGGAGTGGGAGGATATCTGGTTTTCTGGAAATTTGGGAAGACGGGAGCGATTGGAGGTCGACCCGCACCCACGGAAAACACCGTCCGTGTGGAGACCTCACAGACTGGGACGTTACTCGAGGTGAATCGTAAGCTGGACAATGTTCTAGCTGCGATACCGGTATTAGTGCACAAAATGGATGTCATCTCGGAGAGGGTCACTGGACGGTGTGGAGATGTTTAAAACCTGAATTGGCTTCACTGGAGGACTTGAATGATCAGTTACAGACATCAAGGCAGAGAGGAAAATGATCTCTGCCTGACCCAAACAAAGTCTTGTTATCCGAATCTGACGCCATGGCAGCCATGTGAATGCCAACAACAAACCCCCACAAAGGAATGAGGACAGATGCTGTGAAAACCCGACCCCCCCCCCAGCCTTTGGATTGGTGGACTTCAGCCTGGCGAGGTCATCAACCTGCAGGTGTCAATGTGCTCTGCGCTCCTCCCAAGATCTCCCTCCCACCTGTGGCTACACTAGAGCGCCATAGGGCTACTCTCGCTGGGGAAAAAGGATCCCAGCCCCCCCCCGCCTTCCTCTCCATGTCTCATGTTGTGAATTGTTGATGTTCGTGCTTATATGTTTGAGGCATTTTTTTTTTGCATAGTAAAGCTACGCCCTGCCTGGAGTAACTCTGGTATGCCTTTTTTTCCCCTCCCCCAATTTATCCTCATGTAATCCACTTTTCATCTAATTAACGGTAGCGCGACTCTTGTTGCGAATGACCACAGTACCAATTCTTCTGTACGGAAACAATTGCCCCTTGGGGATGATTAAAGTTTTTTTTTTAATTTGAATTTGATGAGCTTCCATTGCACATTCAGCAGTCCTCTGAAGACCAACTTTAATGTACTGGCTTTTAAATCTGTGTGAGTGATTGACTGTGTTGTTTTTTAGTCTCATTTTTTATGTTTTTATTTTGTTGTTTTATTAGTTTTTAGTGGATTTTATGTGTTATGTTTTTATCTGTGTCTGTGAAGCACTTTGGTGGCATGTAAGTGTCTGTAAGGTGCTATATAAACAAAGTTGGAGTCGACAATCGGCGTTGGTTATAGCGTAAAAAAGATAAGAATAAAAATATTCTATTTAGTTTGCCACAAACGTATGCATATCTCCCGTAGAAACTTAAAGCTTCTTTTATTTTGAAACGCTTCCTTCGCCGGATGGATGTACTTGTAACAACATCCGGATCACGATTGGAAAATTGGCGGTTTGTATTCGCGTTTTGTGTCGTTGTCGTGTATGTATCGTAAAACTTAACTAAACGGTGTGGATATCAGGATATACCTCCTAGCTGTTTTACCTTCTGTTTCCTCTTTTTATTTTGACGGAAAAAATGCGTTTTAAAGACAGTTTATACAGCCAGGTAACATAGAAGTTAGCATCGAAGCTAGCGAGCTCGGTGGCGTCTGTAGAGATCGACTCTGGACACCTCACCTCATCTTCCTGCTTTTATTCACCCATCCCTAAACAATGACGACCTCGACGTTACAACAAAAGGAAAACGGACAGTACTTGTGGTTTGCTCTTCTCGGACTGGGGTTTCAACCGGATGCTGCGGCTTCAGGACTCAGCAAAGCCAACATTAAGCATCTAAACTTGGGGCCGTGAGTCCACTTTTGTTTCCGTTTAAAGCATCATTTATCTGTACAGATGAGGTTACCTTAAAATATAATTGTATTTGTGGCTAAAACGCAGGAATATGTTCGATAAACCCAACAAAGACGCCTTCTACATCGTCACCGTTTACTTGCTGAAGAAACTCAACCCAACGAGATTTCACGAAGCTTACAGGTAAAGCAGAGTACTCGTTGATGTTTGTCTAAGTTTGTCCTACATGTTAACAGTGAGATGTGTGTTCTGCTTTAGGAATTGCTGGCCTGTTTTGAACCATAAAGCAGATGCAGAGTTTCGCAAAACTACCTGCGCCTGGCTGCGAGAAATTATGGTAAGCTTTAAGGTCCACCGATGTGGGTTTTCTGTTGCCGATACCAATATGTGCAGCTGTTTTTAGAGCCCATTTTCATGGCTAATATCTAGTTTTCTGCTTTATCTGTACATTAATACGTCACTGATAACAGCTGATCCACAATAGTTATGAAACTGAATTTAACCGACTCTTAAATCTTTATTTGTGCACAATATTAAAATTAGTCATTTAAGTTTATCAAACTGACCAAGTTTTAAATGTTAAAAATTGTACAAAAAAGCATGAGTTGACAGGAATGCTTTAAGAGCACTTATTAAGCAGATGTTTCAGTAGTACAGGCCGTTCGCAGATGTGCCTGACTTTAAATAGGTTCTGCTAAAGAAGTATATCAACAGAAGCAATGCATTATATATTTGTCACATCAAGCACATTTTATTTTGCTAACTTGTTTTCTCCACTCTCCTTCCTCTCTTTAGTCAGATTTAGTTCTGAAATAAAGTTGCACAGCACAATGCAATAAAATCTTTTCACACTTCCTGCATTAAACAATTAATTTAATGTAAGAATTGCAGCTATTTAGGTTAGAATAGTCCTCCTGAGTGTGCTTGCACCAAGCCACCATGCACCACAAGCAGGTGAAAGATGAATGGGTGAAAAAACGATTAAAAATATGTTATGAAAGTGCAACAACTTAGAAAAACTATGAGGCATAAAAAAATTACAAGAAAAACACATTACATTATGTTTCTTTGAGCACGAGTGATGTGAGGATGCCTGAAAACATTTCCTAGGCATATTCAGTTGAGAAATTATGATTATTCAGGTTGTAAAAATTTTAGATCATATAAATTTAGTAAAAGACAAATGGGCTCAAAATGAAGAGAACTCCCAATGCTGGTGGACAAGAGTCTCCCAATAGACAACCAGTCTGAAAATGGGCCTGGATTGGACACACTCTGAGTTAATGGTGTCACGAGGTGAACGCTGGACTGGAACCCTGATTCAGACCTGGAGGAGATGGTCTGAGAAGGACGCTGGACATGTGGGATGCCCAGGACATCATCAATTGAATCCCTGAGCTGACGGGACCATCTAGTAAAAAATGTCAAAATGCAACATGTAGATTCTGGTGATGTAGTTCATTGTACAAGACACTGCTCCTATTTTTCTCCATTTGCAGTGTCTCTGGGTTCTGCCTTGAGTTGTACTTTTAATCGTATTTTTATAGCGATGTGTACCGAATTCGGTACTTTTTAAGGTACCGACCGAATTCCATAGTACCGACTGAGCACCGATTCACGTCATTTGAAACGGTGCCTCGTTTCGGTACCCGTCCTTCATAACGAGAACTTGCCAAGACAGCTGCTCATGCGCAAGAGCGTTACGTCATCGGTCGCTGCGAGCCAGTTGTAAACAGAGCAGCATGGTAGAAAGAACGCACGCTAAAGCTTGGGTCCAATTCACTAAATGTGATGGGTAACTGGGTGATGATGAAACCAGCGACAACGATCTAAGTGAGACTTAATCTTAATCTGCTCCGGTAGGTAAATAAAATGTTTAAGATAACGTTAGCTTGATACGGTATGTTAGCTTCCGTTCCGCTAATGGTGCGTTCGCTTTCTCCTCGGAATTCTGAATCTCCGACTAGAAGAACATGAACGCGCTCTAAAGTTTGGCTTCACTTTACTAAATGCGACGGGTGATTGGGTGAAGATGAAACCAGCGACAACGATCTCAGTGTGAGGCATCATCGTTTTAATCTGCTCCGGCAGCTAAAAACTGTTTAAGATAACGTTAGCTTGATATGTTAGCTTCCATGCCACCATTGTTATCAGCTAATGGTGCGTTCGCTTTCTCCTCGGAAATTCTAACTTCCCAGTAGGAAAAATAAATTGAAAAAGGACGGCAAAAGGAATGAAGATACACAGTAAATTTAGTTCACAGTAAAGATGTTTGCTTCAGTTTAATTATCAGTTTATAAAACTACAAGGACGATGTTAAAATACAAACAGTTGTATGTTATTTATCATAATATTTATCAAATATTGTTCTATATTGAGAAAAATATATATTTAATTATAAAAGAGAATTAAAATAATAAACACTCAAAAGTATCGAAAATTGGTACCGGTATCGATTCGTAGGTACCGGGAATTAGTACCGGATCGATTCAAATGTCAAAGGTACCCATCCCTATATTTTTATAAGGTCCCATTTTTATGTATTTTATAGGAGCAGACGGCAAATGCAGGAATCAAAGTGGTGGCCTCCTTGTTTCTGTCCCCCGGAGGCCCCAAGTTCCTCAGCTTGATGCTTCATTTGGCCACACACGTCATGCTGCAGGAAATGAAGACCTTCAGCACAGGTAGCACTCTACACTGAACTCTCTTCGTTCGACTTTTGACTTTCAGCAGCTGACCTGTCTGAAAACATGGCCCCACAGGTGACGGCTGGGTTCCCGAGGCGGCGGCGGTGCCGACCTCCAGCTTGGACATGGCCGTTAACAGATTCAGTCTGACCCGTACGAGGTTTCTACAGGCTGCCGTTGATCAGGACCGTTTTCTCCACGAGTACCAGAGGCGAGCTCAGTGAGTCCGTCTCTGCCAGTCCCTACAGCTGGACGAAGGTTTATCAGATCTTTAGTAAAACAATCCATTTGTCTTTTTTTTAGGTGTTTGGTGAAGTCTGAGCGGGACATCAGAGCGGAAGGTGCCAAGTACGACGAGCTGCTTAAGTATGTACCCTATATCCATCTTATGTTTGGACTGAAGCTCCTGAGGAACACTGACTAACTTGTGTCTTCAGGCGTTTCCCCTCTGACTCTGCTCCGGATGAAGGATCTTTCTGTGGGAAGGTCAGAGAGGTACGATTTATGATTTACACCCTGGCTTTAGCGTTCTGGTAGGTTAAAGGTGTTGTTTAAAGACGACGGTCTGTCTCAGGTCCGAGCTTTATGGTCAGACATCGAAGCGATGCTGTCCGCTATCAGAGAGGAGCAGAGCGCCGTGGAAAGTGTTCTGAGAGGGGATGTGGACCAGCATGTCCTGGATGGGACGGATAGAGCCCTAAATATCCCTCGCTGCCTCCAGGAGAGGGTTGAACAGCTCCCCCATCAGGTGAGGACAAAGAACGTGTACAACTGTAGATTGGATGGATTTTTAAACACTTTTCCCAAATTCCCGTTGTCTATGGGGACATTTCTGACCTTTTGGGTGTATGACGCAGGGTTACCAGAAGTCCCTGAAGACTATTCTGTGAGTTTTTTTTTTTCTAGTTAAATTCAGGGAACGTTTATGAAGACGGACAGCTGAACCTCCTCTGTGTGATGGAGTTGACCAACCACGCCTTGCGGCTCCTGAAGGAAGAACGTCGTCGTGTTCCTCCTCTCTCCAGATCCCAGATCAGTTCTCAGAACCTGCAGGAGAAGTGTCTTAAGATGTCCCGGGTGCTGCGGGACCTTCATCTGATCAGGTAAAACACCTAAATCAGACTTGTGGTTTCAGCTGTCTCCCACCTGAATGTGACGTATTTTTGTGTCAAACCTTCAGGCAGAAACTTTCCAAGGAAGAGATTCCAGAGGTCTGGAGTGCCATCAGAGAGCTGGAGGCTGACTGGGACAAGAGGTGGATGGATACATTAAAAGAAACGCCTCTTGTTTCCTTCCTCAACAAGGATCCTGTGAGTCATGCTCGACCCCTCGTCGATATTTCATCCACATCTTACGAGGTGGAGCTGATGTGTGATGGTTTGTTCAGGCTTTTAGTTTCCTGTCGCCGATGGCCCCGCTGACCTTTGACCCGGCTGCTGAAGCCACTTACAGGAGTAGCGTGTTTTCTCAGTTCCCCGCCAAGCTTCCTGGTGAGCAGAGTCAGATCGGTTCACAGTCCCAATTTAAATGGTTACGTTTGCTTTTTAAACACCTTTTTCTGTTACAGATGGGAAGCCGGCAGAGAGGAAACCAGAGGAAGACGGGAACGCCAGGAGGTAATGTCCTCTCTGTTTTGGTTGATGAGGGGAAACTGATACCTGGGCAGGCCTGAGCAGTGGTCTGTTCATCACTAGTTATCCCCAGAGCATCCCCGCTTTCTGATGACCGCGGCGAATTGAGAGAAATCGCCACGGACAGATACGGAGCGGACATTTTGAGCATGTGGCTTTAGATAGAAGCACAAACTGACACCTGCTTAAACTTAAATGCAGCAGTTAATGTTTTTTTTAATTAATGTGTGTGTGTGTATATATATATATATGAGATTTTTGGGCCGATCCTGATATCTAATTTTGAGATCACTGTGATGGCCGATAACTGATATACTGAAATTAATGCTTCTAAAATCAGCAGATTTTGTATAGATTGAAAATTATTAAAGTTGAATTCACGTTATTATTTCATTCACTGTTCACATGACTAAACAAACATCGGTGATTTATTAAATCTGTTAGTGTTGCTCTTGAGTGACCCATCTTGTTACTAAACCAACAGCCAGTATTTTCTTTTCTTAAAGAGCGAGGAACTCCTAAATAAACTTATTTTGCTGATAACCTGCATAGACGTGTGTCTAATAGAGTGCTGTCACACGCCAGGCCCCGCCTCCTTTAGGCACATTTGTCAAACAGGAAGTGGGGGGTGGATTAAGGCTCCAGTCAGGGGGTGACTGAACCTTTAAGCTCAGTGCTTTTTTTCCCCTTAGTTTCGAAGTGTTGCAAAGCTCATAAAAGTTGTTGAGTTAGTTATTATCTTACCTCTTTATTTTTAGACAGCACTTAACATTTAGAGATAACACTAGCTCAGAAGCTAATGATGGTTATATTAGAGTAGATATATTTCACAGACATTCGTAGATGCCCTGTTGACTGACGCTGCCTATTGGAGCTGTCATAGTGGCCGGCCGCCATCTTGGAATGGTTCTCAATTCGCCCCTCGAAGGTGCTTACCCAACAAAAACACATTTACCATACTTTTTCACTAATTCAGGCATATGGTATGACATGATCATTAAAATATAAATTACATGAAATAAATAAGAAAGAATAAAATAAAATCCCAACAGGTAGTCCATAAAAGTCCCACATGATCTGTTTTCTATAGTACTCCAGCTGTTGTAATGGTAGGCTGTACAGAAAACTGGCATAGTTGCTGACTCTGGGTTTGTAGAATGAGGAGACCCATCCAATATGGTGGAAATGCTTTTATTCTCTGCAGCGCCCAATGGGGTGTCTACATATTCATGTTTATGAGTAAGCTGCAATTTATGACTCGATTAGTTAATTGCTAAAATAACTGTTTAGTTGACTTTCAAAATAGTAACTTAAAGAGGAACTGCACACCGTCAGAAAATGTAACTCCACCCCTAGTCAAGATTTGAAAAATGCTATGAAAGTGGGTGTTGCCAGGAGGCAGAGAGTGGCATGGCCAAGTGTGGGGAATTTCCATCCCAGGAGGGAGGGGGAGTGGGAGGAGACTGTCCTGATGAAGTGAAATTGTTAGCCTAGTGAACTAGACCAAATTCTTGCTTTGCAAAGTTTGGTCTAGGAACGCTCCACTGGAACCTCTGCAGCCCCAACAGCATTCTGGCTGGCCAATCACAGCTCTCTAGAGGGGTTTCAAACACATAAAGAGCTGTGATTGGTCCATAATGGTGGGCCAATCATAGTGCTCTATCTGCTTAGTGAACAAATCACAGAGCTTTATCCGCTTTGTGGGCCAATCAGGGCACTCTATATGCCTGGTGGGTGGGATGATGCAACAGAGTGAAACAAGCGTCTGGCTGTGTTCGAGATGAGCCAGTTCTGCGCAGATTAGATCAGCGGTGATCTGCGAGCTGTGCATGCCGGTTAGATTTGTGTCCGACTTGACGCCGACTTGCTCTGACGTCATACCTACGTAGGCAACGATAACCTCGTGAGATCAAGGTGGCCGCAGATTTTGGAGCAAGGTGCTGCAGTTGCTCTCCACCGGCTGCAAAACCTAGGGGATGATGGGAAACGCCTGGCTCTCACCTGATCTAAGATCTGATTGGTTCATATTTTGATCCAAACATCCGGTGGTAGAACATGAAATGTTAGTTGGTCACATGTATTCTGTAAATCATGTTATGTTGATGATGATAACTATATAGACCATAAAGAGGAATGTGATATGTGTTATTTTGTCACGTTTCCTTTGAACACACTAAACCTACAGCTGATAACCTTTACTTATTATTACAGTCATGTCTTCATATACATTATATGATATCCACAAGCACGTGAGGATGTGTTTCAGCTGCTAACAGGCACCAGAATTAAAGTTGAAAATTAAACAAGTGTGAACGCTAACGCGATATCTTCATCCATCGTCACCCGCGAGCTACACATGTAGGGAGATCTGTCCGACTTAAACGCCGGCTTTCAGCCACTCCTCCTGCTGCTTCCGTCTGCTCTCGTCTGTTTTCCAGGCGAGGCGCTGCTCAACTCGAACACGGCCAATGTCACATTCATTCTCCAGTAGCATGTGGAGATCATTTGAAAGACAACGGTAGAACCCGCCCCACAACTGAGAGCCGTCAATGGAGTGTTGCCAGACTAAATAATACATTTATCTAGTCTGGCTTGCCAGGCTATGAAATTGTTCCAGCCCCAGTCAATCACAAGTTTAAAATGTAGTAGCTGCTGTTCTGCCACAGGGGGCAGCACTAAGACGTTTTTAGACCTAGAGTCTAGATGTAATCAAGTTTACACAAACATGTCAAAAAATGCACAGAAACAGAAAGAATGCAATTGTAAAGACCCAATATTTTGGGGTTTCGTTACTACAAAAGTGCTATCTTAATGCAGTAGAGCTGCTGTCAAAATCCTTTGAGGTCTGCCCTCTAGTGGACAACATAAGCATTGTAACTGGCAAGCATTGCTATCTTGTCTGAATTTAATTTTTTTAACGATTTAAAATCTCTTTCCGGAATATTCCTCTTATCCGATGGCACCATCTAGTGGCTGTTTCTTCATAAATGTGCTTCTGTAGCCGACAAACAGAGCTTAAACACGCTGTTTTACTAGTATTACTCTCATGTCATGTTCTCATATATTTATATTTTAGAGACTTTCTCGTCCGTGAAAAGTTCATCAACTCTGCATCAGCTGAGGTATTCCTTAAATGTGAAGCACGTAAGCGGTAGTCAACGCCATTGGTTAGTTCTGGTCGGCGCTCAGTTTCCTACTGCACGGAGCTCTGCGGGGCAGCGGGCGTGCGTAGCAAAACAACAAAAAAAGAGACGTATTGCTTACATTTTATCACAGTACATGATGAGATAATCACTTTTACAGATTTCTGAAAAATCAAACTTCATTTCTGAAAGTAGAAAACTCCGGAAAAACACTTTTAACCAAAGATTAGCTCACACTTATTGGATTGATTTAACTCTGCTTCAGAAGACGATGGATGAAATATTCCAGGATCTTCCAAACAGTTCACAGAAATGTGTCTTCTCAAACAGGTTCTCAGCAACAACGGAGATGTTGGATGTTCCTGCTGTCCCCACGGCAAATACGTCTCTGGACTGGCTTTTTGACACTCAGTCAACCTTTCCTCTAAAGGCACCACCTGGACCACCACTCCAGGTAAGTAAAGGGACCAGCCAGATCAGATCTTATTAGCTGCACTCTATTCCTTTCTAATTACCTATTTTCCCCCTCAATAATAGACCAGTGTGAGGAAGACGACTCATCAGAAGACGGCTCCATTAAAGACCAAAACTCAGATCTTTGACCTGGAATGTGAAAACCTTGCAGATCAGGTATTTTGATGACTTAAAAGCTAATATTAATGAAGAACAAAACTAAATACCAACCAATTTCTAATGCATTTTTTATAAACGTTAGTTTGCAGAGGCTGTAGCTTCAGCCAGTCCTTCGGGTGGAAAAGGTGAAGGTTTGGATCTGGAGAATCTTCTCGGCATCTATCAGAGAGATCCCTTTTCTACTAGGAAGCAGCTGCCTCGAACACCCGAGAGCTTAAGTGAGTCGTGGGCCTTTTTAAACATGTGGTGTTCCTAAAGACACTAGATTAATAATCTAGGATGAATGACCTTATTTTTAATGTCGTTGCTGTTTTATCTGAAGTTATGGATGTGAAAAGCTCCTGGAGAAAAGCTGTTGAAGATCAAGCTAGAACGAGTTTCCATTCTTCTGAGCTGATCAGCAGTGTTGCTGTTGGACAACGTCCGCTCAGTCAGCCTGAAAATGTGAGCTCCGACTCCCCCGCTCAGGCCGTCTCCTGCACCGCCGTCCCTTCTGTCTCAGATCAGGACAGCCCTTCTGCCTGCCAGCAGAGGGTCGCTCCCAAGGCCTCTCTTCTGTGGGAGGGGCTCGAAGCAGAGGTCCTCGACAGCCCGAGCGGCACCGGCAGCAGCGTCATCCAGTTCAGCCTCGAGCACGAAACCCTCCCCGAACTGCCGAGCTGTGACAGTCTGAGTCTTGAGGACGAAGTTGTGGATGTGACGAGCGAGGAGGATGAAGAGGTTCTCATTCGTTCTCTGACGCTAAAGCAGTTCACGCCTCGTCGGGATCCGAACCAGCAATCGAGCAGCGGTGGCTTCTCCTTGGAAAGCATGAGGATAAACAAGAGTCTTCTCTCAGATTCCAGGGACAAAGACTTTCTGATGGAACCCGAAGCATCAGCAGAAAGAACCAGCAATGTGTTTTCACTAGATCTGGATTCACTGGAGACACCTTCACCTGTCAAACAAGACTACGCCCTCCCTAAACTGATCACCTTCTCCCCTATAGACGACATGAAATGTTAGCCACTTATCAGGATCCACTCTTCAGCTCTTAACTCTTAATTATTGTGTAATAAATGTGCATAACTGTAAAATAAACCACACCTGCTGCACTCTGAGGTAGTTTTAAATGGGATTTTATTGATGTAATAAAGCTGAAGACTTGAACTCATTGTTTAGGAATAATTTCTGACTTGTATGTTAAGCTTGTACATAACTGTAAAAAAATAAAATGTTGAATTAACTTAACCTAGTTAAGCACATTGGTTACACTAAACCTAGCTACTTCAATTTAAAGAGTCATTATTTTCTAAGTAAATGTATATTACTTTTTTATTTAAGCAACTAAGTTTAGTGAAACCAGTTGACAGAAGTTATTTCACAGTTGCATTTTTTTGGAGTGTGCCGAGTAAACATGAAATAAATGAAAGTTGTGTAAATCATCTGGTCTAGTGATGTGTCGGTCGCGAACGAACCGGCTCTAAGAGCCGGCGCTTTGAAGTGAACGACGGGAGCCGGCTCGTCATTGGGAGCCGTCCCGTCCCCTCCTGCTATGGTGAAAGCTACAGGCGATTGGTCAACGTGTGACTGCGTGTCCAGACTGTCCACACACAGAGCAGCAGGGGCGGGGAAGAGGCAGGATCAGACTCAGACACACAGCAGAGCACATGCGGGCGGAGGGAGACGAAAGGGAATGAGGAGGAGGAAAAAGGCGAGAGGAGAATGCGACGAAGACGGTGAGAAAATGAGCGCCAGCAGTCGGAAAGTGGAGATTTCTTTAAGTGTTCAGTTATTAAATCCATAGAAATTAGAAATATTTGATATATTGCATTTTTTTTACATTAGTAAATTATTTTACATATAGTTTAGCATTATTTTGGTTATAAATGTACTCTATGCCACAGAAAATCTGAGGAGCCGAAAGAGCCAGTTCTTTTTGGTGAGCTGAGCCAAAAGAACCGTCTCTCTAAAAAGAGCCGGAATGGCTGGAGAACGGTGTGTGACAAATGAAGCAGTGTTGTAAAGTGATTAATATTTTAGTCCCATGTAAACAGACTAATAAATGGATTTCAGGCCTGGAGTGGTTTCCAAGAAAGCAGCAGGTTTATCTGGCACCCTTTTCTCCTGTGTGTTCTCTCCCTCTGAATGATGGGGGCATCAGAAACTACTTAAACTCAAACTAGTCAAGGCAGCGCTCAAGCAGAGCAACCAGGAAGTAGATTTATTTTTATTTTTTCCTCAAAAAGCATTTAAATGATCACTTGTGGCAGCAGTAGCTCAACAGGTTGAGCGGGTTGTCCAGGAATCCGAAGGTTGCAGGTTCGATCCCGGCTCCGGGCAGAGAATTCTGCTGTTGTGTCCTTGGGCAAGACACTTAACCCACCTGGTGGTGGTCGGAGGGACCGGTGACGCCTGTGCTCGGCAACCTCGCCTCTGTCAGTGCGCCCCAGGGTAGCTGTGGCTACATCGTAGCTCATCACCACCAGTGTGTGAATGTGTGTGTGAATGGATGAATGATACACTGTAGTGTAAAGCGCTTTGGAGTCCTTACTCTGAGAGGCGCTATACAAGTGCGGGTCTTTTATAATTTGATTTAGAAAACACATTTATGTGGAAGCCTATTTCTGCCATTGAAAAGAAAACAAAGTTCATGTCTTATGACTTTCAAAGACTTTTGAGATCCAAAGTCACAATTATAACTGAAATAAATTTCACAGTAAATTAAGAGTTCTGAGATAAAAAAAAAGAACTATGGTGATGGTCAGTGTTGTAATGAGTATGGAAGTCAGGACTGTAATAATTTTTTTTACACCATATTCACTTACATGAGAAATCAATCATAGTTACAAGATTATACAATAGTTTCAAACAGAAATATCTACTTATTTAGCACTGTCCCTTAAATGGAAGTTATCCTTGACTAAAGAAAAAAAAATTCACTTGACAAAAACAATCTAAATCATAAAAAATAACAATTAACAGCAAATATGACACTAAGTATTATGAGATTTAGGACCTTTTTTCATTTTAAAGTTATAACTTTGAACCTTATAATTGTAAACAAACATTTTGAATTTGATATTTATGAATTTCAAAATCATGACTTTGAATGTTAGAATTATGACTTAACCTATAAATAAAACATATGAATCCTATAAATATGATTTTAAACTAAAATTTGACTTTAACTCCATAATTACGATTTTAAATACCAATCTCAGACAATTTAAAATCCTATTTTTTTGTACATCTCATACTTATCTCAAAACTCTGTTTACTTTGTGTACTAATAACGACTTTAAATGAACATACATTACTGTGATTTACTATGTGACTTTTTTGTGTAGCAGAAACTTGATTTTATTTTCGACATAAGTCTAATTTTACTTTGAAAGGACTTTCCGGAAGCGACTTATCTCACGTGCCCTAGCTTACCGCCGTAATGGCAGCTCGCCTGCTGTGTCAGTTACAACAGACCGAAGCCGCTCCTCTTCGTTGGGCGGTTCCAGACTGAAAGACGTTTTTCTGAAGAAAGCCACCAACAAAACTATCAGCGCGGACACAATCATGGCGTCCACCGACAACTTACGGTGAAAGTCCGAGCCACGAAGGAGACGCAGTCAGCAAACTTTCACAGGAGTCCCATTTTCCTCTCGCGGTGGCTTTTATTTATTTATTTTCCTTCTGCGCGTCGTCCTCGTTGGCTCAGGCGGAATACAGAAAGCGGTAAAACAAGTTGCCTACATGTCAACATTGCCTCTCGCTGCGGCGTAAGCAGCTGGTAAGTGTGCACGTTTTTGTTCCACGAAGATAAAGCAGGACTAAACGGTGTTTGTGTTGGAAAATAATAAAAATGAAAGTGATCAAAGTAATTAAAGGATCATGCATGGTAACCCGCTGGAAAGTGTTGGTAGTGCTGGCTGCACTGGTGAAGAGACGGAGCCACGTCTCAGATCGCCGGAGCAAAGTGTGTGTGTGTGTGTGTGTGTGTGTGTGTGTGTGTGTGTGTGTGTGTGTGTGTGTGTGTGTGTGTGTGTGTGTGTGTGTGTGTGTGTGTGTGTGTGTGTGTTTCCCGCATTGAGGTTGCCCTAGTTAGGGTTTGGATGCAACAGTTTGGAAGACAACACTCTTCTCCTCCTCCTCCCCCTCTTTGGGCCCCCCTAGACGCCACACTCAACTCCCCTGAAGCCCGACTAACCTCCGCAGGTGCCTGCTGCAGCCCCGAACTTCCGGCTTGAATTGAAATAAACACCAATTATGTCAGGGTTGCTGTGCTGCAGTTTACAACTATAGTCGTTATGAGGAACTGTTAACCCGACTTCCCTTTGAGCATGTGGTGTGCATCAATTTTCACCCACACTGCTCTGTTATCATTCTAGCTCGGCCTAATTGATCGAACAACCGATTGGGCAAACTAATCAGTTAGTTGACAAATTAGGCCGACCCCAGATCTTTAACTAATTGGCATCAAGCACTTTTACAGTGCATGAATCAGATGATTCTTTCACCTGATCAAAATAAACTTGTGGCTTTGAAGTTGCAGTGAAGCAGTGTTTAGCTTAGTGTAAAAATATCCACTTTTTGAGCAAATGGTTGATTTTGATTGTTTCTTGGCTTTTCATAAACTTTTTCAAGTCACTTGAGCAGAGGTGCACAGTGTTGAGTTAAAAAAAGTACTTACAAACATGAAAGATTGTCTCAAAAGCTGTTATCGACTCTTGGGGTGATTGCAAACAGTGTTTACTGGGAAGAATGTCATGAAAATTTTGTAAGAAATCCCAATTTCCTCACTTGATTTTCAAGGTCTAGCCGGAATTTAAAAAATGTTTTGAACAAATTAGCAAAACAAATTTCTTCTAAATAGTTGCAGAGTCGCTTCAGGCATGGGGAACCTCTCTATTTGTTTCAAAGTTAGCAAGTGTGAGAAATGTCATGCTACTTTAGGAGGGGTTTGCGAACATATTACTAGGAAATGAAGAAACAATGAACACATTTTGGCTTAATGTAGATGAAAACATTAGCAGTTTGTTTGCAATTATGTCATGCTGCATGTGACCTGGCCTTTGCAAATGGTTCTTAAGCACCAACTGAGCTGTTTGCTGCTTTAAACTGGCCAGAGATTATTTCCTTGGGTAATCTTAGATTGAGCAGGTGTGAAAGTCTATCAGAAACCAGGTGTGGACAAAAAAAGCTAACCGTGATTCCCTTGAAAATACAGGTCTCTATTGGCTTTCAAGGGAAACGTTGGTGTACAGTGTGAACAGAGGCGGAGCTGGCCTAAATGGCGCCCTGTGCGAGATCCCCCTGTGACCCCCCCCACCCACACACACACACGAAAAAACATTACACCTAAAACTTTGTTTCAGATTGCGTGGAGTGTATCTATAACAACGTTTGCTAACTGAATACAACATCCAGCTCCTGGCCACCTGCTCACCACTTGTCAAAGTTCTACTGAAATAGACACACTTAACGCAACATGATGGCATCATCGACTTGTACAGTACAGATGTGCTGAAAGGCGAGAGTCTCAACTTTCAGCTAAAAAAAGACTGCTCTAGCTATTATAGTTTTTATTTTATGGTAGTTTACAGTTTAAACGGGATCATACTAGCAGGGCACCTCCAGCGGCCCGCTGCCGCTCCGTTTTTCATGGGGTAAATAATAGCTCATTTCCCGATTCCAAAAAGAAAGAATGGTCCTACCAGCTCGCCACTTCAATATGAAGAAGATCAGTTCAACATGGGGAAAAAACCGGCCATGTAGGCCAGAGAAATGTTCATTAGCACATCAAGTTCTATTCAGTTTACCGGTAAACATATCACGAATGTACAACAGGTCAATTATTAATCATCTTGGCTACGTAGCTCAATCTATGCATTCCAGTAGCGTTTGCTACAAACAAATACAAAAACAACAATAAAGGAAAACAACTGTCTGACAGACAGCATAGCCGAATTCAAGGCAACACATAACAATAATCATTCGATTGCTCTTGGTTTCAAGCTAAGCCCATTAAAGTGCTTAAGTAAATAAAAGTGTTTCAAAAACAGCGTTTTTGAACCGGAGTTCTGCTCGCGGCCAGGGGTGGCGTTAGGCCCGGCTACTTGGGCTGAAGCCCCGGATCTAAATCGCGGAAGTAACATGCAGTACCAAAGTCCAACAGAGAGGGCGCAGCTGGCAGTAGTTTGTATACAGCCTGCCTGAGCCTCCACCACTGAAGAAGAAGCCCTTCAGCAGCCGGCTTCTTCTACACTCTCTGCCTGAAACGCATGAGTGAAGATGGACATGAGGACGTTTTTTAGACCAAAAGTACAACGACAGAACCCCAGCTTTGATGAGACTGGTGCTGACTCAGGTATGTGAGTCTTATTTGAAAATATTTGTTGTGCAGCTGGTTTGCCTAAAGTTAGCTTACTATCAGGTAAAGTTGTTGGAGAAAGAAAGGGAATATTTACTATCATCTCACACTAAACACTAACAGGAACAATACTCTGCCCTGAATATGCTTAATATGTAGCTTCAGATTAAAAATTATGTGGTACAAGACATATATATATGATGTTGACTAGTGCGTGTCACGTGCGCACGCGTGCGTGTGCGCGTGCGTGTGAGTGTGCGCGCGCGTGTGTTAAGCCCTGGATCTTCTTCAGTCCTAAATCTGCCCCTGCTCGCGGCGGGAACTCCACCTAACAAGGTCATTTTTTATAGCGAAAACGATCGACTGGTCACTGACAAGTAAAAGGGTGTTATTGGTAGATGTTAAGAACACTTACCGCTGAGGTAAAATGAGAGTATAAATGAACTGAGGGGAAAAAAACGCTTTGTTTTCCAACACCGTTCTACAAGCAACAAGCTTACAGCCACGGCAGGAGCAGCTTTCATGGTTGCCGCGAGTTGGAAGGAGCCAATCAGGAGAGGGACCTCACATCAGCTGACGTGGGTCATGTGACAGGGAGTAGTTGATATGGGTTACACTTTGTTGTGCTTTTATTACAGAAATATTATTATCATCACTATTATTATTAAGAACATGCGATTTCTATGTTTTGTTTATGTATTGGTTGATGCTAAAAAAAATTTTTTTTAGAAAAAAAAAAAAAAAAAAGGAAATTAAATGCCGCCCCCTGCAGACTGCTGCCCTGTTCGGCCGCACATGTTGCACATATCAAGCTCCGCCACTGAGTGTGAAAGGAGAAATGGACCACCCAGCAAACCAACGAGAGGAAGAAGTGACATTGTGCCAAACTATTTAAGTTGTAGGAAAAATCAGCCAACAGTGCTAATCCAGAGAAACAGAGGTCTGATGAAGGTGGAAAATATGTCTTGGACAGATCCAAATTAGTGAAGAGGGGCAGTCACAAAACACCCTTCCTGGCTCTTTTCTACTAGCACTTAGTCATCTCGGTTTTACTTTGGGGATGCGGATCCAAGCATACCGTTCCGAGCTGAAACCATGGCAACGGAAGACTATCTCTCGCTGATTGGCTTAGGGTTAGAGTCACTTACGCTCTACTGTACTTTAGGGCTGCTCGATTAAGGCAGAAATGATAATCACGATTATTTCGACTGAAATTGAGATCTTGATTTAGACAAATTTTAAATTATAGTTGATTGTATTTATTTATTTGGTCATAAAATAGCACAGGGCACAGTCAGGACCAAAATAAATAAGAAAAATAAACAAGATCATCACAAAACCAACTACTCCTCCTCCTGCTCATAGTTTATGACCCAAAGGCTATAGGCTGAGGCTTAACTCATTTAAGCGTACCCAATACAGACCCAAATACCCAACCGATATCTTGTAAATACTGACAGCAAGACTTATACAGTTCATTTATATTATAAAATAAACAAAACATATATGTTTCAGTGAAGTTAATAAAATGTTGCATAATGATTATTTAGTCCTCCTGTCCAGCGGTGCAATAGGAGTGTATAGTAGCAACGTGTTGCTCAGAGATGAATTATTATTCCCCATTTCACAGCAACCAGGGGCAAGGTGTGTGTGTGTGTGTGTGTTTGTGTAGTGATGTGTTCAGGAGCCTGCGGGTACATTGTGTATCACTCACTCCGGTTAATCCAAGAAGAAATCAGCTCTGAGAGCCATTTCTTTTGCGACCAACCTTCATCATTTCCCTTCCTAATGTCCGGAAGGATGGTTTGGCGTGAAGGTTGAGTGTTTAGCTAACCTGCAGGGAATGTCGACGACAGTTATCCAGAAAGTAGCTTAGGGTTACCAGTAGGGATGGGTACCTTTGACATTTGAATCGATTTGGTACTAATTCCCAGTACCTAGGAATCGATACCGGTACTTAACGGTACCAATTTTCGATACTTTTGAGTGTTTAATATTTTTATTTTCTTTTATAATTAAATATATATTTTTCTCAATATAGAACAATATTTGATAAATATCACGATAAATAACATACAGCTGTTTGTATTTTAACATCGTCCTTGTAGTTTTATAAGCTGATAATTAAACTGAAGCAAACATCTTTACTGTGAACTAAATTTACTGTGTATCTTCATTCCTTTTACCGTCCTTTTTCAATTGAATTTTCCTACTGGGAAGTTAGAATTTCCGAGGAGAAAGCGAACGCACCATTAGCTGATAACAGTGGTGGCAATGGAAGCTAACATATCAAGCTAACGTTATCTTAAACAGTTTATCTAACTGCTGGAGCAGATTAAAACGATGATGCCTCACACTTAAATCGTTGTCGCTGGTTTCATCTTCACCCAATCACCCGTCGCATTTAGTAAAGTGAAGCC